GGGCAGACCTCACGTCTTCTAGGGGGGTCCGGGGGGATGCTCCCCCGGGAAGATTTTTTTTTAAATATTGAAGTTAAAAGCATCAATCTGGTGCACTTTGAGAGCAAAATGAAGAGATCTATGGATACCTCTCTCAACACCCATATGAAGCAGAACTGTAAACAGATGTACTTTTTCTTTATGGATATTTTACAAATCACTCCCCTTTTAAACTCTATTCTTGTTTTACTGCCATATAGTATTTCATAACTGTTTTTCCTTTATTCTCTTATTTTTTTTATAACTATAATGATCATATGAAGGTGTGCCGCGGAAATAATCTTTTGAATAATTTGTGACCAAACAGTTTGAGACCCACTGAGATAACTTAGACTAAAGTTAAGTATCTAAACACTCAGAGAGTCCTTTAGCTCACCTGAGTCTCTCAGTCTGAGAGGAGAGGACTCTCCTCCAGCTTCTTGTGGAACAAACAGCTCCTTATGTCCGTTAGTGCAGCTAGCTAACCAGATGCTAACAACAGGTCCCTGCTGGCAGCGGTCCCTCCCTCCCCCTCTCTCCCTCTCTCTCTCTCTATCACACTAAATGCGCTATTGCCACACACACACACAGAGCCGAGCTTGAATGACACAAGCACACGTTTATTTCCATGCAACTCTCTGATTGGTCTGGTGTCATGTCTCTGTTGCATTCACTGAACACGGGAAATTACAGTGTTGCCGTCCTCTCTTGTGTCATGATGAGGTTCACGTAAAGCACGGTTAATGTATTATATTATTGAGGGAGAATTGTCCGGGGCTACAGAAAAAACATTCGGGGCTAAAGCCCCGGATGCCCAGGCCAGGCGACGCCACTGGTGTGAACGCAAATATATCGTAGTTCTGATGAACTATTGTGGGAAAAGTACTCCGGTGTGAACACGCTAAATGGGAGCCAGTGCCTTTTCTTATCAAGCTCCACTTTTGTGGAATCAGCTTCCAGTTTGTGTTCGGGCGGCAGACAGCCTATCCGTTTTTAAGAGTACGCTTAAGACCTTCCTTTTTGATAAAGCTTATAGTTGATAAAAGAATCTAATAAGAGTGCATTGACGTAGACACGTTGTGCCTCTTCACCTATACATTTGAGTTCTTACTCTTTTTCCTTACTGATGGAATGTCATTTGGTTGTGTGTGTAGATGGTGGAAGCAGGGAGAGGCATATACGTGCCTTGATCCCTGCCGAGTCGACGCACAACTGTTGATTGGTGTCAGTGCCAAAAAACTTTTTAGGAGCAATGCGCTCATGGTATAGATGTGGCACATACATCTTAGTTCCTACTCTTTTCCCTCACCCTATCCTAAGGGAGTGCATGTACATAGACACGTTGTGCCTCTCCACCTCTGTTCCTTACTTCTTACTTGCTACCCTTTTCCCTCACCCTATCCTAAGGGAGTGCATGTACGTAGACACGTTGTGCCTCTCCACCTCTGTTCCTTACTTCTTACTTGCTACACCTTATCCCTCAACTTATCCTAAGGGAGTGCATGTACGTAGACACGTTAGTTTAGCTGCTATGGGCTTAGACTGTCGGGGGACACCTTACTTCTTCCTTCTGTCTGTCTGTACCTGTGTACTCTCATGTTCCGAATAACCCAGCTTCCCCCAAATTTCTTTTTGGTGTCTATATCTACGCCGGGATCCTGAGTCGTGGCTGATCCTGTTGCTGCGGTCCTGTGTCCTGGATCCTCTATCCTGAGTTCTGGATTTGAGTCCTGGACTTCGAGTCGTGGCTGAGCCTGTCTCTACTTCCCTGATGGCTCCGACAGGATTGTTGACATCCTCTTGGGTTCATCTTCTTATTATAGACACATGCATTTCCAAACATTTAGTCTACCTATGCTGTAAAATGTATTATCTCTTCGATTTACACACGGCATCTATTTGCACGTCTGTCCGTCCTGGGCGAGGGATCCCTCCTCTGTTGCTCTCCCTGAGGTTTCTCCCATGTTCCCCTTTAAACTGTGGGGTTTTTCTCTGGAAGTTTTTCCTTGTACGATGTGAGGGTCTAAGGACAGAGGGTGTTGTATTGTCATACTGATATTCTGTACAAACTGTGAAGTCCACTGAGACAAATGTAACATTTGTGATATTGGGCTATATAAATAAACATTGATTGATTGAATTGAGATGGTATGGGATCAGTTGGACCGCAGAGTGAAGGAAAAGCAGCCAGCAAGTGCTCAGCACCTCTGGGAAGTCCTTCAAGACGGTTGGAAAACCTTTCCAGGTGACGACCTCATGAAGCTGACTGAGAGAAGCCAAGAGTGTGCAAAGCTGTCATCAAGGCAAAAGGGGGCTACTTTGAAGAATCTAAAATATAAATCATATTCTGGATTTTTTAACACTTTTTGTTTACTAGTTAATTCCATATATTTTCTTTTATAGATTTGATGTCTTCAGTATTAATCAATAATGTACAAAATAATTAAAATAACTAAAGACCTTCGAATGAGAAGGTGTGTCCAAACCAATCTCACTGTACATTTATACATTTTAGATGGGAATGATAGAGCCATTTATTTTTTCACAAATAAAGGCTGATATCTAGGCAACATTATGCTTCCCTAACACCTGAGCTCTCATCCTTGCTGTTGACATTGCTTCTTGCTTCCTTGCTGGTTTCTAAGCAACAGTGTTTGTTCCTAATGGGCAGAGTTACACCAGCCTCGTTGACAGTGAGTGAAAAAGCTGTTGGAGAGGACCGGAGCTGCTGAAGGAGCTAAAGTGAGGAATAACTGCAGGATGAGAGGTTTTCAGTGTGGGAGGTAAAATGACTGAAGCCTGAGAGGATAAAGCAAACAGTGAACTTCCATCAGGCTGCAGAGCGGAGCGGTGACCTCCACACCCCCGCAGATCCACAGGCTTAATTGGAGATTTCGCCGTATTGCTTTCAATCAGCGCTCTTTATTTGCCAGTGCAGCCACACGTCACCTGAGCAAATGTGAGTGTGCTGACAGCTAAAAAGAGATATCTGGAATTCATCAAATTGAATCATAACCAGAGTGCTCTAATGGAAATCTATACAGCTATCTTTTACAAAAAGGCAAGTGGGAATTTCCTGCTGATGAACGTGAAATGATTTTTAGTTACAAAAGGAACGTCTGTTTAAGAAATCATTGCATTGTGTACATTCATTAGATGTCAAATGTTTTATTTAATATGAAATGTAAAATATACTCATGCATAAAATATGTTAGATGTGTGGTACATTAAAGTCTGTTTCATCAAAGCACATGTGGTATGCTTGTGAAACACATGAAATATTATTTTGGAATTGTGAGTTTATTCTTGAGTGTCTGATGTGTTTAATATCCAAAAACCACAAATGTGTGTATGTTCATTTGTCAATTACTCATGACATTTGTTTGACATACTGTCTGATGGCATGTGATTGTGTGTGTCTGAACAGTCATGTTTGAATGATTCATTGAAAAAACATTGGACATAAAAACATAAGCCATCTCTGCAAAAACGTTTTTTATTTTGTCCTCTTTTAAAATTTGCTTCAGTCAAAAACACACTCAATATAGAAGCAGACTGGGTTTGATTGCAGCTATATTTCAAAAATCATAAAGAATCATTTACTCAATAAATACAGTTTCTGCCCATGTGCTTAAATGTGGTGGGATTCTCCTTTCTGAGCATATTTACACCATAAATAACTGGATGGAGCACATTTCAGGCTGTGAACATTCAAAACAAAATCCAAACTTGTATAAATATAGGTTTATCTAAGGACTGAAGAAATAAAGAATCCCAAGATGAAACTTAAATCCTGTTGTATAAAGATTCCCACGTAACCAGTATTAACAGTTGCTTCAGGGATCAGCGAGCTGCCTGAGCTGGCATTCCAACGGGTTACTTGCATATGGTCTTCTTACAATCACTCAAATAACACAATATGTCCCATATCTTTTGTCCTTGGATGATACTTTCTGGTTACAAAAACGAATGATATAGGACGTAATCATGTAATTATTGTCTTGCCAATCAGATATCAAATATCAAAGCATCAGACTTGCCCTTTAAAACCTTTCCAACAACACGTTCAGTATCCATGGCTTCCACTGTACAGTCATGAGTCATTACCGGTGTTTTCTGAACTGTCTTCACCAGCACGGAGAGATACCAACACGGAGAGAAAAGAAACATCCATAGAATGGCTTTGCATATTTTTCGGTGAAGTTCAAATGACATTCTTTATTTCAGGGCCAACCTGTGCTCTGCATCGCTGCATGAACACCAAACCCACCTCCTCACAAAGGCCCATCTCTTATAGTGCAAACGGTTACACGCACTGGGGCGGATGTTAAAGCACAACTCCAGACATTTTATACCCAGCCCTGTTTTCCATTTTCTTCCATCATACTGATCGGTTTTGACCAAAGTGTTGTTTGTTTTTGCAATAAGCTGTGACCAATGCGATGTCTTACTCCCCCCCCCTCCTTTCAAACATAAGGGCTATTAGCTTCACTACAGTTTTGCTATACTGTATACGGCTTCCCTTTCTGTTTGCCTGACAGCTGGCTCAGCATGGAGAAATGCTGGTCCAATATATTCAGATGTCCTTGTTTACATCTACAGTTTACCTACATTTTGGAGACTGTCCACTCAGAAACAACAAGTGCTCTGGAACTATATATATGAAATACATCGTCCTTTTATTTGGAAGACTTGTTAAGACTTAAAGCGGCTTCATAATTGCATCGCTTACCATTCAAACAGGCACTGCTGTAAGTATGTGAATGTGCGGTTCAATCTTGTAAATAATTACATTACAATCTTTTAAGGAGACATTTAGAAGTGGACTTTTTATCAATGTTTGGGGGGGGGAGTATAGCAACAATGTATCTCTATGTAAAGCATGGGCTTGCTGAGGGTGATCAGTATGATGGGAAATCAGGCTAACAGGATCCAGACTAAGGAAAGCTAACCAGCTCAGGCTCTGAGTCCCTCTGTCAGTGTTAGCTGCCATTGCTAATAATGACAGAGGTGCCTTTATGTCCGGGGGTCTGCTCTGCTGCCATACGGAGGTGAGGGGTCACATCGTAGTGGGGGGGGCCCGTGCTGGTGGAGGTGCAATAGCCTCGCAGGCTCTCTGGGTCGTAGAGATGCTCCAGAGCGTAGCCTGTCAGGGAGTAGCTCTTATGCTTGTCCAAGTAGGGCCGAGGGTGGGTGTGGGAGGGGTAGAGGACGGGGGCCGAGGGGGGGGAGGAAGAGCACGGCCCCAACCGCCCGAACGCGTGGTGTAATGGCAGAGAGAGGGGGGACACGTCTGTCTGGAGGTAGTCTTTGGGCTTGTGGAGGCGCTCAGGACCTGGACTGCTGAGCCTGGACAGAGGGGCGGGACTAGGGGCAGGGCTGATCACCTGACTCAGACCTCGACACACCACCGTCTGTAGTGGGAGGGGCCCTTGACTATACTCTGGAGTGAAGCATGGGCCGGGACCCTTGGGCAGCCCATTGGCCGGCCCCAGTGGGACCTCCTGAGGGCCCTTGCCCAGTCGACTTTCTTCTTCCTTGATCATCTGCTGCGTGGCTCGGATCAGGGTCTCGATCTTGCTGGGCTCCTGGGGGCTGCAGCGGTAGTGGTCAGCGTGGTACCGGTCCCCCGAGTCACTGGCGGAGCCCCCATCCGGAGAGCTCACCACGCTCTCCTCGTCCCAGTGGCCCCCCCGGCCTGCAGAGCACACAATGAGAACAGAACAAAGTCCAGCAATTGTGTTTGTTGAGACACCACATCACAGACAGTAACCGCTAACACACAGGCACGTCATGTAAAGGGTCTTATGGTGTACATCTCAGCAGGGCGGGATCATTCCTGGCCTTTGAGTTTGGATTCTGTGTGTTCCATTTTGTCCACCAATTTCTTTACGAAAGATGAGGATGGAAAACATATCAGCAAGTGTCGACTAGCCACTCTGAAGAAGATTTGTTACAACCATACATTTGCTGTTTAATTCCCTGACCATTTCTGAATAAAGGTACATTGTTCGCTGTCACTCTTACTTGAGTCAATCATACTTATTTTGTGTTTGAAATATTCAAGTCCAAGTTGTTGAAGCACACCAGGAATGAAAAACTAATTCTAGTAATCTCTTTCACTGTTGTTAGAAATGAGTTCTACTAATGTCATATTATTTGCAAACAATGCATCATCAACAAAGCTATTTCCCTGTATGAACACTAATACGTTTTAATTGCAACACTGGAGTAGTGACCAACACCCAGGTACAGATCCTTTTTCATACAGCTACAATGCAATCAGGTGGTTCTACATGTCATTATAACTTTCTCGTGTCTCTTGATGTGTGTAGCAATTTGATAAACTAATAAATGCCAGCATATTAGCACACTGCTAAATAAATAAATAAAAGTACTTAGCTTAACTTAGTTAAGGGAGAGATTCCTTGTCAGTGTGCTAGTTAGATTGGTAGCTAGCTTGCTAATGTTAGCTTACTAACTAACTAACCTTAGTGTGTTTCTAAAAGGGTTAATGTTGACATGTTGTTTGACAGTGCTGAGAGTGCTCAGAGAACTAGAAAGGCAGTATGTGAAGGGGATGGATTTGAGGTCTCACATGAAGCACCATTGATCTATCAGAGGCTCTGAAATAAGAATATCCTCCCAGACTACTAGTTGTATGTTCAGTCTAAACTATGAAGGCTGCCAGGGTCCAGTCTCTGCTCCTCACCGTGGTGGCTGTGGATGGCCGTGATGTGCGGCACGCTGCTGTCATATCCTTCGTGGTTCTCCAGGGAGCTCTTGCTCAGCGGCAGGACAGACCGGGTGTTGCCCCACCACGCGTCCCGGCCATGTGGGGGTGCTCCTAGAAAGTATCGTCCTGCCTCACATCGACCTCGCTCACAGCTCTGACCTTGACCCTGTGAGTGGAGGTGTGTGTAGCCGTCGCTGCTGTTGTGATGGTGCTCTTCAGACAGGCTGTAGCAGAGCGATCGGGGGTCAGAGAACTGTCTGTACACACAGGAGGCATCCAGACCCTCACTGTGCTCCAGCAGCTGGGGGGAGGCTGAGTCTGTGAGGGGGCTGCTGCCCCACGGGCTCTCCTGGTCAGACTCTGAGCGCTCCGTCTGGAAACTAGGATACTGCAGGGAGAATGTAGGGAGACAAGGAAATATATAATACGAAGCCTTCAAATCAGGTGGCAGATCTTCCATGTTTGAGATGCTTAGCTGACTGTTTGACACCACCTCTTTTTGTCATTGTTTAGCTAGTTTAGGGATTCTTTTTAGTATGGTACTTGTTTCCATGTTAGAAAATGTTCTACCTCTACTGATTACCTGGGCATTGGTCCCCAGAAAATGCTTGGCTGTGTGGAACACCTGGCATAGTGTCCAGAGTCTTTTTTTTCATTGTGAGTCACATGACAAGCCCTGTTTTACCTATTTTTGAATGTAGGGAACCACTGTGAAAGACACGGCTAAACAACAATGTAGAAAATGTAATGAGCATGGAAAAGTGAAATTATTATTAACATTCATCAGAGTTTACAATCAGGAGAGAGTCAATGCTGTCACATGCTACGCCCCAAGAGAAGCTCAGAAACCCAACAACTAGTTTGTCAAACAGCAGTGATGAGATATTGTTGTCATAGAAACAATTAAAAAAGAGCCTTTCTGCCAGAAGAAAAGCCTATGTGGACACAAGCCATACATATGAAGTTTGAGAGCACAGTTCACATCACAGCATGAAATGATGTGTTTTCTGGCATTAAGCAGAGGTGGGAGAAGTACTCAGATCTTGTACATAAGTCAAAGTACAAGTACCAGAGTCTAATATTACTCTGTAACAAATTAAAGTCCTGCATTCAAAATGTTTCTCAAGTCAAAGTAAAAAAGTATTAGCATCTAAGTGTATTTAAAGTAAAGGTGCAGCTAGTTGTAATGACTTTGTATACTGCAGGGTAGCTTGTGAATTTACTCCAGGTGGAACTAAAGTCTGATTTAACACTTGATTATATTTCACATCATTCATCCACATCTGTGAAGTAACTAAAGGTATTAAATACATGTAGTGGAGAAGAAGTACACCATTTACCTCTGAATTGTAGTGGAGTAGAAGTACAAAGAAGTACAAAATTGAAATACTCAAATAAAGTAGTAAAGTACCTCAAAATGGTTCTTAAGTAGTCTTGAGTAAATCTACTTAGTTACTTTATACAGCTCTGGGTATATGCCATGTAATCCTCACCTGTGTGTAAGGGGAGAGCCTGGCTTTGGTCTTGGGCCGGGTCACTCTGCTCTTGGGGGTTCTGCAGGGCTCCGTCACGCTGGCAGAGCTGCTGCTGTAGGGGAAGGAGGCCTTGGACCTGGCCTGGTCCAGAGACAGCTGGAGCCCTTTATACTCCGTCTCCCTAAACACACAAGCATACACTCACAGTTCAATCCTTTATGTTTCGCATTTGCATTTCAGATTTATAAGCAGTCTTTGATTACACAAGGAGAGATCCCAGTCTCCTTGAAAGGCTGCTTATTAATTACACAAACAGCACATGTGTACCTGCGTGTTTGTTTTTTTCTCGAAGTGCAAAAAACCCCATTAACATCTGCTGAGCATTGAGAGCCTCATCATGGAGATGAGCGGGGCAGCATGTGGGGAGATGTGTTTGTGTTTCTGTGTGTGTAACAGCGACTGCTGGGGGGGGTGGAGGGGGGGGGGGGGTGCTAAGAGGGTTGGAACGGCTGTTGGGATGCTTGTTTTACCAGAAGGATTGCAGCAAGGCCTTCAACAAACACTCTACAGAGGGAAAGCTGTCCAATCAAATACACGGGGAGATTAAAGGCTATGTCTGGCTCAATCAGGCCCATAGGAGAAGCATGGATGCCTCACTTGTGGGAAATGGGAATGGATTTCTTGCTAAAGTGTTCTACAGATCTCACAATGGATGATGATTCAAGTTTGAGAACAGAAAAACCTGGACAGGGTTTACTTGAGACAAACGTTGATCCATCTTCCGCTCACATCTCCTCTCTGTCTCGATCTTTCTCTACACAAACACTAATTCATACAAACATGCAGACACACTTCACAGGATTTGCTTCAGTTTCATTTGGAGAGAGTCCTAAAATACCACATTCATTAAATACTGCAACTCTAACTATGATTCTGGCAGGCAGACATTTTCTGATATGAATCATGTGGATGTGGCCTTCACTGTCACCAGATTTGAACCAAACTACAAACATTTGTGGGAGATTTGGAGTGATCACCATCATCATCAAAACATCAAAAGAGGCAATATCTTCTGAGAGAAAATATATCCAATACCACATACTGTATTGGAAGAGTCTATGACAAAGACCACTGAAGTGGTTCTGGAGCTTTGTCTCCTGTGGGGGAGAAAGTCCTTCTGGAGGAACACAGGGATTTTAGGAATTTGCTCAACTAACCAGTTCAGACACAAGAGTGATCGCTGGTTAATACATTCATTGATTTCAGACACCCGGCGGTGAACACACAACAGCGCCTGTGTGGACTGTTGCTATTGATTCAATCAAAAGAAATGGTGGCAAGAGAAAAATGTAAAAGCAAAATGGTTCCGGTTACCCCTCGACCCAAAACGTTTACAGGCCTGGGGAAGAGATGTTAAGACACAAGACAAAAGTCAAACAATATTATCTTCTGACAAATCAATGTTCATCTGTCTTCTCTTGTTAATCACCTCATGACTCTTCAGATTTGTAAGAATTCCCAGGAGAACTGATGATGTGTTCACTTTAACCAGAAGGTTTGGAATGTGTGTGTAGAGATATACGTTTGGGCTAAATCACAAACGAACTGAACAGCACTGACTAAACCCCTGAGGTTATTCAAAGCATGGTTAAATCACTGTCCGGTGGAGGTAGCAGGAGCACAGGTCATCAGAGCTGAACACACAGTAGGAGTTCACATGCAGGTGAAGTGGTCTTATCAGCTGTGTTATCAATGGCGGCATACACTAAGCTACTGGGCTAACAAACACTGCTCCTGAAAACAACACAAGCTCACACACATCTCACTGTCTGTTGTCCCGTTGATAGAGTAGTGCAGGAATGAGTACTACATCTTCAGAAATGACCATCTTACCACATATAGTTCCCAAGCAAGCTGAAGACATGTTCATATTGTGTTCAGGCTTCATTCCCCTCACAGCAAGCTGGAGCCCATAAACGCTCATCAAGTTTACAGCCTATCAATTAAGAGGCCATAAACACGAGGCTGTTGTGGATTTGATGCAGGAGGTGCAGGGAATGTGTGTAAAGCTGTTCTCTGAATCTGAAGGCAGCCAGCCGCGCTGCTTAATGGAGGCTTTTAGGGCCACTATTCATTCACACGCTCACTTGTACATCTGTGAAATATGCACATCAGGGGTAATAAAAGAACAGTACAGTAGGCGAGTAAATGGTATCACTCACTTATTAATAAGAGTGTCTCATGCTGTGCCATGATTACAGTTTGATTTGATTGGAAGGAAGAGAAAAGTAGCAGCTTGTAATGAGGACCCCTTGCTGCTGGTGTTGGTGCAGGATGGAGGCCAGATAATGCTCCACCAGCGTCTGCTTCAGCTCAGATACCGTGAGGCAGAGCTGCCAGTCCAACATAAACTCTTCCAGGTGACTGAGGCCCCCGCAGAGGGCCCGACACAGGTAACAGCCAACACATGAGCGCACTCAGAACACTTCAACTAAGGGTTTCTAACAAGACAGCAGACAGTGATGGGACAGGAATGTGGACTACCATCAAAGCTAGAAGAGCAGAACGTTCTGGGAAATCATTTCCTTTTGTTTCTAACTCAGAATATGACCTGGCAATCATTCTTTATGGCTATTTCTGCAAACCAGGCTTCAACAAACACGTGTCATATTTCCAATTAACCTCCAGTTAATTGCTTCACAGCTACTGTTTGCGTAAATCTCTAGTACCAACACTCATTATCTCTTCACAGCAGAGAATGACAGACACAGAGCCAACCCTCTGCCCTGAGCTGTCTGACTGACAACTGTCAGCTGACCATACCATTTCAACTCTCATTCTCATATAAATACATGTTCTGTATCAATAGGTCAAGTGCAACAGATATACAAACTATAAGAACTGTGTTTACATTTGTTAAGGAAGGATGCACAACATCTCATTTCCGGAATGGGTTTACAAGTTGCTGACTCGAACCACTCGTCTTTATAATGATATTAAATAAGGGGTAAGACCCTGGACATGATGTTTTTATATATTACAGACTAGATATCCATGTCAGCTGCTCCTGACGTGCTGCTGTCACCGTGCAGCCAGAGAACATACTGTGTTGTAATGGAGCTACAGAGTGGCTCATCATCAACAAAAACACTGTACTTTTTCAGATAGTAATCTTTGAATTAAACACATACACTATTATAAAATGTATGCTTTCAGGTTTGTTGCTGTTGCGTAATACTCCTTTAACCTTCTATATCCTCCTGAGACCCAGAAAGAAAAAGGTTTCAAATGTCCTTTTTGTTTGTTGATCACACAAGTCTTTAGGGTGGTATTAACATAATGACTAACAAAAACTACAAACATATCTTTTTATTTTTGTTTTATTGTGTGTCCTTTGTAGAGGACATTGGGTGTTAGTTATGTGTCATTTGTAGAACTCCATCCTTTGAAATGCAGAGATACATCTGACACTTGAGGCACTTGATGCTATGTTTTCCCCCTGAGTCCGTCTGCCATGACCCCTACAGAAACCTACGTGTTAGTGTTGGCCCATAGTGGACTCCATTTGTGTCGTGTAAAATGGGGGAAATCAAAAGTTAGCAAATCCCCATGTCCTCCTCAGAGGACATTCATAAAAACATTTAGTTTTAGGTCAAATCATTATTGCACTGCTCTGAAAACTCACTACACTAACTCCTAAGATGTTCCCTTACTATAGTTAATTAAAATATTGAACTCACAACACTGGTAATTACAAAATTACAAACGTACCATTTCTCTTTCTATAAATAGTGCTTGTGTTGATGGACGTCATTTTGAAATACAATGAAATGATCTTTTTCAAAGCCACACCCCCACATATGTCATATGTTTGAAAAGCCCAGGATGTTCTCTGTGGAGTACAACTGGACTGTATGAATATACTGTTTAGCTGCTCCACAGAACTAAAACAACGGAGCTTTTTTGTGTCAACAATCAAACTAATGACACAGGTACTGGCACACTCCTTAGTTACCATCGTTGAAAGATACAACTAATTACAGTAATGTTTCCTTGAATTAAAACATGGTGTGCAGTCCTGGCACAACATGTCATCTCTGAGAAAATAAGCACTAACACCAGAGGTAAGACACAAACAAAACAATACAGTTTGTCTCAAGTCCACCTGAAACATCTCTGAGTGGTGTTCAGTCATGAAGTGCAGCAGCATGCAGGAAGAGAGACTCACGTGAGGACATAGTTGACGCTGACGATGCAGTGAGGGCGGGACGAGCGGCTGTTGTGAACGATGGTTGCATAACTCTGAACCCAGACCCAGCCTCCAGGCTTGGCCAGGAAACGGTAGTACTTAGTGGTGACCTGACCTTTCACCAGCACTGCAACACCAAAAGAAACACAAGACAGCAAATGATTACTGGGGGGGGGGACAGTCATGTAAAATGACATAAACATTTTGAAACAGCAAAAAGAAATGAGACAGATTAGAACACGATGCTAAGTGTGTTTGATTTGATCTATGGCATCGGGAATAGCTATAAATGAGCTGTTTCATATGAACGTATGGAAGTTCTATTGCCTAATCATTCAAAAAGAACAGCTGCCGGTCCTGCCTGACACCCATGTTATTGTTTTTTTGAAGTTGTTGACATTTACCTGGATCAATCTTTGTTATTTACTTTTATCATTTGGATTGTAGTAAATGTATTATATTGTTTAATGTGTACAAAAGACACATATCAGTCAGTCCGTCCTGGGAGATGGATCCCTCCTCTGTTTTTCTATTCAAGGTTTTTTCCATTTCTCCCGTTAATTGTGAAGATTCTTTGTCAGTTGTTCCTTCTTGTTAGGGTCTAAGGACAGAGGGTGTCGTATGCTACACACACTGTAAAGACTGTGAAATGTGATTGAACCTACAGTTACATAAAACCATCATAGACCTGGCCTGACAGTACATGAGGTTTGATCACATTACAAGGTAACATTGTGTGTGTGTCTGTGTGTCGAGAGAGGTTTTGTAGGAAGGTAAAACAAACCTAACTCACACAAGTGATGAGCACATCTCAGGTGGAAGGAGTCACAGCTGTGCACATGATGGTAGAGGGTCTTCTCTATTAGATCCTGAGGCTCGTAGCCTGTCAGCTCTGCAACCCTGAGCCACACACACACACACACACACACACACACACACACACACACACACACACACACACACACACACACACACACACACACACACACGCACACACACACACACACACACACACACACACAAGGGTTCATTAACATGAATCCTTCCCACATTTACAAGTACACACTTTCACATACAAACAAACAAGCGTTAGAAGTCCTACCCAGACATGTACACACCATATGCCTTCAAACTGTGTGTAACCACTGCAGGCGGACACACCAGCGTGTCATGCAGGACGTACCGTGAGTCGAGGAAGATGAGCTTCATGTCCAGGCTGGCTCTGAACATGAACATGTTGGAGTGCAGTTTGATCTCAGTGACAGCGCTGGGGGGGAGCGAGTGACCCACAGCCACCAGCCCCACGTTCTGATAGCAGCCGTCAAACGGAGACATGTCCAGGCTGTACTGACGGATCTTCAGGTAGCCGCTGCAGTGGATCACCTGAACAGTTCCCAGGTGGAGACAGAATGGATAAATATCAACACATACATGTTTAGGCTGCCTTTAGGTCCTATTCAGAAACACAGCAGCAGTATTATGTATGCCTGACATTGTGACTTCTTCTTGGTTGTGTTGCCCAGGCCAGTCTGGGGAATCCTGACAATGACAATTCACCTGTACTCTACCTGTGCAATAGTAGGGTTTCAGAGGGAAAAGGTCAGCAATTATACTGAGTTTGACTTTATTCTCAACATTCTGACTTCATTTTTGAAATGCTTATTAAAATAGAAATCTTCCTTGTCTCTTCTTTCCCACTTATTCCTGCCTCACCTACTAGGTTTTTTGGAAAAATAAATAAATGTGTGTCTGGCAAGAAGGTGGAACCTAGCTTAGCAAACTAATCTGCCAAGGCACTGTCCTTAACAGCGGACAATTAGTTCAACATGTAATCTGAGCCTGACTTAAAAATGCACAAATAAGACGGATCTTCACAAGGATTGAACAACATCGGCCTTTAACAATGGTGTGAGACGATCAAAGGATATCAGGCCACTGCTGTCTGCAGAACCAGGATCATCTCTATTTCCTAAAGTGTCCATAATGCCAACCTTGTCCATACAACACTTTTATCCGCAGCAGACACATATTGATATTATGCTACCCACTTTATAGAGACTTTTTATATTGTTGCTATAAAATGTACTGAATGCAATGATGCTCTCCAGAGGATGATTTATTTTGTATTCTAAACACCACTAACCCTACCTTCAGGTCAAAAGGTGAACATTGCGCAGAAACGAGCACGTCATATAATAAAAACAGCAAAAGTATATTGATGTTCATTCTATTGACAACTGCATACATGTCATGGTGTCACAAGCATTTCAGCCATTAGTTGCCAATAGCAGAGCTGCCCAATTTGACATCTAGTAAAAAAATCACCAGATTTCTATTCAGAGGACCAACTTTCAACAAAACACATTTATTATGAGGTTTTAACCTTTTTGGAATTTTAATTTGACTTGTTTTTGTTGATAGATATGACTTAACCTTGAGCAGAACATGTTTTTAACCCTCCTATTGTCTTCGTTTCCCCCCCCTTACTTTGGTGTTCGTGGTCAAATTTGACCGGTCCTGTTTTAACTGCTATTACATTAACACAAAAACCATTAATCATCACCAAATTTCATTTAACACCCTTTCAAACTGTAAATATTGTATCAGACTACTGGTATACATGAAAAACTGCAGTAAATATACAAAGAATAGACACTGAACATGTATTGCGTGTGCCAGGTGTGATCCATGTGGGGGGATGGGCACATAAGAGCGGGAAATGTTTCAAATTGTTCTGTGTGTGTGTGTTTGTGTGTGTGTGTGTGCCAGGTGTGATTCACATGGGGGGATTGGGCACATAAGGGGGGGGGAAACACATTTAGAGTATGTGTGTGTGTGTGTGTTTGATCTGATCCGGATGGTTACTAATTCCTTTTCTTTATGGCGGTCTTGACCGGGAACACCATGGGTGTTACAAAGTTGACTAAATCATCCAAAATTCAATGAAAGTGGTGATCAGCCATTTGATATGTTCAAATGTCTACTGTGAAGGATATCATAAAGCCTTAATGCAATCGAATGTAAAACTAAAAAGTTATGATTGATGAAAGTAGTAAATTGGTCAGATTTGACCCGAAGACAACAGGAGGGGTAATCATCTTCCAATTTTTCAATTAAAAGTGAAAACGATATTACCTTGTAGCCTCCACAGGTAAGACCAGCATTTCTTTTAGCGAGGACACATTTCATTCTCAGAAAGAAGGAGCGCTCCATTTCATATTCTGCAGAGAATGAAAACACATGCAATTATTTCTGTTTGATGAGTCCATTTCATATTGTACAACTTGGCTGTGCTTTGGGTTACCATGAACAAAGTGTGAATGGTGAGGCTGGTGAGCTGTGAGGACGGCTGTCATTTCATCATGGTCTGCTGGGTGGATGTATTCATAAATGCTGTTTCCCGTCAACTCTACCTGTGTAAATGAACAATCATCTCAGGAGTGTGACACATGAAGCCCACATCAGAGGAGATTACATTCAGTTTGTCAAACCAACCTGCGATAGGCCCAAGTGGACGGAGGCGGTTTCTGAGATGTACATTATCTTCCCATCTGGAGCAACCACAAAAATAAAGCCATCTAATGTCTGAAAGAAACAACAAAAAGAGAGTTTTTTATATTAGATAGCAGAAGATTTTTTAATGTAGTTGTCTTGAGTCCATTTCCGAGGACACAGTGTATACACTAGAGACTTATTGTTATGACTCTATATCAATACAACTCAGCAAACTGCAATCACAGCAGACAGGTCGCTTGTTGTAACAACATCACGACACAAATATGATTTAAAGGAATGCTTCAATTGACCTGCACAAATATCAATGACAGCTTTATAGGACAAATCAAATGCAACACGGCAATGCATAAAAACAATGCATTTGAAAGCTAATGCAGTCCGACCCAAAAACAATTAACGCTACGCTACCTGTTCACTTTTTAAGGAAACTGAAATAGAGCTCACTTAACTTTAAGGTCATTTTGGAAGCTGTAGTCTTTGCTGCTGTCTACATATACATTATTTTGAGAAGCGTAGCATATAGGGCATCTTTAAGCTGAGTGTAGCCTGCCAGATACACTAGCAGGGGACTGAAGCACTTTCAAGTTCAAAGCATTTATAACATGAAATGAATACAATATCAATATTACTGATGGTGAGGAACATTACTCATTTTATTCTGAAACTCTTTTGTTATAAAATGCTAATTTAAGAAGCAGCCGATTTTCATAGATGCTAGCTTGTAGCCACTTGTGCTAATAGAGGTCCTCTTTAGCCGCACTGGCCAGCATACAGCCCATAGTGTCAAAGCAGTACTTCTACCATAGAGGCCAGCCTATAGGGAATGGGAATGTGATGTCACAAACAGTAAGTCGGACATCTTTGGAGGAAACCAGCGATCACAACCCGTTGACCAACAATTCAACTAAAGCAAGCAAGGTACTGTTAATCCTTTACATTTGAACTTATTAAACACGGTTGATAGGCACTGGTGTTGTTGACTGTTACAGCCACATCCAACACTTACTAACAAAACATGAGATTACATTTGATTAGTTTACAAGATGGAATCTGTACAAGGGACACCAGAGGCCTGTACTACGAAGCTGGTTCAACCTAACCTGGATATGTTGGAGTTAGCCGGTTGGCCCAATCCAAAACATACGCGCTCTGGCTAAGCTGTACTACGACGCTGGATATCAAGTGGATCGCTCAAGCCAGCCGTGTCCTATCTAGTTAGGTGCGCGTTCACATGAAAGGGGTGGTATTTGTAGCATTCGACCAATCACAAACATGGACAAGCGTACTGACAGCGCAGCGTCATACTTCCTGAATGAAAAGTGAACTTTAATATTAGTCAAATATGAAGAAGTTAAACTTTAAACATCCATGACTTAAACACTTTATCCAGGATAAAAGCCACATAGCTGCACCTGCAAGGTGAATACAGCTGGTAAAAGAAAAAGTGTTTGAATGCGTACATTAACTAAAATTAATTACATTTGACTCTAGTGTTTCGTCAACTTAATGTGTTGCTTAAAATAATACTTCTGCATACAGTATGTGACACTGTGAGTGTTGCACGGCCAGATACGGCTCAAGAAGCTGACTCAAATAAGGAAATATATGATACATTATGATGTGATGTGATATGAATGATAATGGGACACATCGCCGTCTGCACTCACAGTGCCGCGGACTGTACTTAATGTTACTCTGATCCGGTTACTTATGTCGTGGCAGATATTTAAGTAAGCTTTCTTAACGCTAATGTTATAATAGTCAGATTGCTCTGAAGATGGGAGGGGATATTCTATTCATTTTCACGTTCACACAGTCAGTTGATTTTGGCCGGCCATCTTTCCTGCAACGGCAGTTTTTCTGTATTTCCTTTATCCTGTAATATGACTTGATAGCTTTAAACTCCGCACACGGAGCTCTGATTGGTCAGCAGGCAGTGCTTTCACTGAGTTGATCTCTTAGCCTGCAACCTAACCTCCTCCCGAGGAGGTTAGCCGCTCAGCATAAGTTACCATGGAGATCTAGCCCGCTAAAAAGAGAACCAGCGTCGTAGGACCGGAAAGCCCGAGTTTTCCCTGAAGTCAGCCGGCTAAGCGAAAATCCGGCTTCGTAGTACAGGCCTCTGGTGGCGTACATCAGCAAGTGAAGCGGAATATGTTGGCAGCTAAGTGCTGATTGTTTAGTGTCTTGAAGAATTGCTCTACATTATACATAATTGAGTAAAATAATGAGATTTAAAACATGAAATGTTGCAGTATATATAAGTATACCTGTAGATGGATTATGTATGATAATCCATTGTTTTGTTTGCAAACAGTTAGCGAAACCTCAGCTACAGTATCTTACTTCTCTGCAGCTGATTGTATAGTTGTCAATGGGCCTTAGATTTCTAGGTTCTGTTTTCCCCTGTTTGTAAATCAGACTATAGCACTACAAACATTTCATATTTTTTTATTTGCCATCAGGTGTGGGCACTAACTCCAAACATCGGAGGGAAATCAATAACAGTCACTAACAGTGACAGATAGTGGTGGTCTAATGGATAGTGAGGTGGGCTGAAGATCGGAAGGTTGTGAGTTCAAATCCCGCCAGGAACACCACCCAGTGTGCCCTTAGTTAATCAAGGGAGGATGTCCCTGTAAGTCGCTTTGGATAAAAGCGTCAGCTAAATGTAATGTAACAGTCATCGGTGGAAGGTTGTCAATATCCTTAGCCAGTCCTTCTCTTAATTCAATAATTGAAAAATAACTGCTTCTGTCGAAAGCTTCTCTCTGTGAGGACTTTTATATTTTACGTGTACTTTATTCATTTTAGATGCAAGACAGCTGACAGATGACCAGTGAAATAAAAAAAAGATATACTCATATAGCCAAAAGAGAACAACAAGCTAGATAGCTCTGGTCAGACAGCCAACCCCCCCCAGCCCCCCTCCTTTGTGTTGCTGCTGCTGAGAGAGGCTGCCGGACAGAATGAGGCTCTGTGCGTGACCAGGAATGTGTTCAGCTCATTTCACTCTTAAAGCACAAGAATGAAGACAGCAGGAGGCAGACGGCACTAAAGCACACACACACACACACACACACACACACACTACACACACACACACACAACACACACACACACACACACACACACACAACACACACACACACACACACACACACACACACACACACACCACACACACACACACACACACACACACACACACACACACACACACACACACCACACACACACACACACACACACACACACACACACACACACACAGACCTATTGCTGGATCGTAATGTGAAAAAATATCAGAATGTCTTATATACGGTGAATTTTCCAAAGAGCTAAGATGTATGTTTTTCAGTTTACTACAATACATTTTAAGACCTTTGTTTTAGTAAGCTTGTGCCACGTAAGTCACTTAAATTCACAAAAGCATTTTTTTTAAATGTTGGTTTTAAAGTGTGACCACTGTCAGTACCTGTAAGAGATGGGAGCCCAGCTCCTGGGTGACTCCATCCAGAGAAGTGCTGCGACTCACGTGACCCCAAGACTCTCCGAGGCCTGGGAAACACACACACACACAGAAAAAATATCATTACAAGGAACAATATGTCAGGTTTTACAGCCTAAGCAGAAGGGAAATAATGATGTATTTGAAAGCGTTGTATTATTCTCAAGATCAGCCTAAATAACTGATAACAGTGGTTGAACATGAGTCAACAAACAAACATCATTTTATTGAGAAGGCATTATCAGCCCATCTGATGAGGCATTAAAGCAAATGAAAAAAAAAGAAAGACAGCAACAACATTGTTTATTAGCTGGCTTTTTATACTAACGGTATAAAGGCAATTTTATTCCTTTTAACATTCTAAACAAAATTAATGAATATATTTTCAATTTTAAGACTTTACACATATTTAACTATGGCAGAATTTAAATAGAGTAAAGTCTCAAGTTTGGATCGGATTAAGAAAAAGGTTGTGATGAAGATACTAGAATGTACAGATTAACAGGGGTATTTACATAAATATAACCTTTTAGAAATATGAATAATGTATGCTGTATCACTGCGTAAAGACATATACAGTAGGCTAGGCTATATAATGTACATCCATTTATTATTTACAGCTACCAGAATAGCTGCTATATATAAGAGTAAGAGTAAGAACAAACAAACCAACCAAAAAAAATAAAAAATACAATTGAGTAAAACACAGAGTAGGCTAATAAAAACGGATTCTGGTCTTTAATGAACTCAGTGTTCACACAGCAGTCAGCAGGGGAAATTACGCTAAATTGGTTTACAATTAGGAGTGCAAAGCCTCCTTAAAGCTCTGATGACCGCAGGTTCGAAACCAACCCATTGTTTACAACTTAAAATTAGATTCGCACTTTCATGAAAACATTGCAAATGCGGCAGCATGAAAATAAGGATAAACCCTTCAGACGGTGCTTAAAACAACATGTCCGATGGTGATGCGCAGCCAGAGCAAACAGCAGTCCGAGCAGCAGCCCTTCAGTTCCCGCTCCGCAGAACAACAGGAGCCCCACGCGCCGCCGCTCAATAACTGCACGGTTTCATAAGACGATCAAATGAGTCCATGCAACACCTAATAAATATAGCCTTCTATAGGCTTCTATTTAAAATACAAGAGATAAAGACAGAGCCTTTAACACGCTGGGAACAAACTCTCATTCTCAGATTTTATGATCAGCAGAAATGTAAAAAAGAAAAAAATGATATTAGCCTATGATAGGCTAATTGATGATAGCTTCACTAGCTTTTCGATTGGTAAAAAAAAAACATTACATTAAACTAAAGAAAATAAAAGGAATATGTGTAAAACACGCTGCAAAAATCGCAGTTAGCGTGCCGAAAAAACTCTTTCTGAAGATAGACTTGGAGCGCACGGTGACGGTGTTTTTAAAGAGTTATTGAGGTTCACCGAGGCCTGGCTTCACGACTCCATTCTGACACACAGACTCTAAAGAGGCTCACACACCGACCTGCTGGGAACACGGCTCACCTGCAGAGAGACTGACCCGCTGATGTGTCATTCAATAATACATCATTTATTCATTTAAAGTTAGTTAGAATATGCAACGTTAACAGAAGTTCCTGAAGTGAGCAGCCTGCCCCATAGCATTTTATTTTCGACCAACTTATTGGTGTTTTCAAACGCATGCCTTGCATTCACTATGTTTTCATTACTACATTGTTACACCCATTATTATTTTTATTATTATTATTACAATTATTATTATTCCTAACCTCTTTAATTTGTAGAGTCCTGCATTAGGTCAACATGTGGCCGTGATTTAAAGGCCCGGAAATATCCGCTTCGTAACAAGTATTGGAAATAAGGCAGAAAACAGATAAAGAAAATAAACATCATCTTTGTATAATTAGTTTTTCTATTTTTATCTTCCGTATCTTTTTATCATTTTGTTAACCTCAGATTTATTTTAAAACCCCGCAACACTCCATGTAGCTACATCGCAATAAACTAATTTGGAAAAATAAATCATATTTATAATATAATAAATATAGCCTATAGCCTATATATATATCTAAAACGAGAGATAAATACATTACAGCATAATGATTTGGTGTTGCACATTTTACACTCAGCACTAACGTCCGTCTGCAGCTGTAACTGCAGCGCGAGGGGATTTCAATTCTTACACTCATTTCACACATATAAAAGGGCGCTGATAATTATAATATAAAAATCATAATAATAACGTTAGTTGTGTGTGGTTCTTGTACAATGTCAAGAGTTGCATTGGCAGGAAAAAACAAGGCGAATGGTGCAACTGGTTTTGTCCAACACGTTCATAATCCTGAAAGTCATAACTTTGATTTGATCTTTTGGCTGTGTAATCGTGATGTTTATCACAGTAAACACCATGTTAAGGATTATTCACTTTAATAATAAAGCCGACAGTTAATCGGATAAAACGTCATTTTAGTCTCCAACTGTCATCATATCTTTCAGGGCTCAAGATATGTTTGGTTCGGTTGTAATTTAACACAGGATGGACAACACGGCTGAGGCCAAAGGTCATAGGACCACTCTGAGGGGCATAAATAACCCCCCCACACAATTCTGTCAGGAAAAAAATCCTTTACACTCCAAATTAAGAACACTTTTATCTATTCTACTGGCCACTTAATACACTCCAGCCCCTCAGGTGGGCTTCTGGTGGAGTGTAGGGTTCTTGGAAAGTGAAAAGTGAAGAGGTCCTGCCTTTATACAGCAGAGGGGAGTTAATGGACAGAGGAGTAGACTGCAGGAGAAAGATTGTTCCCTAAATGATTCAGAGCGCCTCCCCAGCATGATGTTGCCCCCCATGTAAAAGCTTCCAGTCATGCAAGCATGCAGAGGGGCCCCTGAGAACTGTACCACAGGGCAGAATTCATAACTGATATTTAAAAACACAGTCGGGTGCTATATGTCATCTTTGATATCATTTTGCAACAAAATATAGGGAGAAAGATGCCAAAGACTTGGACCCTCCATGGAGTCTGTGGCCCCCGGCCTTTTCAGTATTCCAATTTATCCAGAATCTACACTCAATATTTCCAGCACATGTTGCACTTTCCTGGAATCCTGCATGTGTTTCAATGAGAGGTTTATTTCCACAAAATGGCCAAAATGATCTCCTGCCACATGATGACCCATCCAGGTCTCTCAGGGGGTCTGCTTTCTGTCCCCAGAGTCAGAACTGAACATGAAGAAGCAGCGTTCAGCCATCATCTGAAACAAACTAGACAACTATATCCCTGCAACGTTCACTTCTTTTCAATCAAGAATCAAGACTTGTCTCTCTGATGCTGCCTTTTATTAAATCAAATATTATTTTTATATTTCACACTGAACTGTACATTTTATTCTTGTATTTCTACTCTATTTTATCTTGTATTCATTTTTAATATGGCTTTTATATTACTTTTTTCAAATGTGTTGATGTCCAAATGCTATCATTATTTGTGTACAGAATTTTAAATTGCCTTGTGTTGAAATGTGCCATATAAATAAACTTGCCTTGCCTTCTTTATATTATATATTTATTATAACCTGCAGGACATCAGCTGCATGGCTCTTTAGTGTTTCCTTTGTGCTCTCTGTCTGCAGCACAGCCTGTTACTGTTACACAGCTCCTTATGTTGGGGATCACGTGCACATCATACTAATATCCGCGGATCTGCAGCAGGCACGCGGGATGGAGCCTCATCACAGCTAATCTGCTGCCAGGGGCCGCGGGGGCCCGGAGAGGAACAACATCCCTGCCGCTGGGGACCCGGACAGACGGGCGGAGGAACAGAGAGACCCTGAATGCATCATCAGGGAGGTGGGAATAACACAGCACACTGTAGGCTAATGTCACCGCGATATACATCTTACTGAATCAGTTGAACTGCAGGAAGAGATGTTTTAATAAAGCCTTCGTGCAGACGTACATAAGCAAAAGCTTTAAAATACATTATTATTATCATTATTCAAAGTTAACGCAATGTTTCCTGTTGTAACCGTATATTAGGCCTACTATGTATTTCCTTGACAGTGACGCTCAAACGAAATAAGAAAATAAGATAAAATAAAATCACGCCTATTGAAGTTTCCGTACAACGATTTATGTATCTGTTAGCCAGAGTTGTTTTTTTGTTTATTGCGCTTTTTAAAACGAGTAAACAAATGTTTAATTTTTGCTCAATTATAAAAAAAAAAGGTGTGTTACAAATTACAACCCAGAAAATGACAACAACAAAAACACAAAAGAAGCACTCAATATTACTCAAATGTAACCATTTCAATTCAACATAAAGAAAAAACCATATCAAAATCCCGCAAATGCCACAGCAGCAAGATAAACACATTGGGCCTGGTACAATCATTACTACCACCTCATTAACACTAAAAATGTCATAACAATTACAAATGTAATTATTGCAATAAGAAGATGAATAAGCTACCTAAAGAGCATTTTCTTATATTTAACTGTATCTATAGAGCTTCAAATATAGTAGTATAATTCTTATAATTATCATCTATCTGATTATGTTGTTATAGCCTATTAGCATAATAAAAAAACAATAATAAAACAATTTGTAATTTAATAAGAATACTTTATTTATCCCGGGGGAATTTGGTAAATTGTTAACAGGTGACATATTAATAATATAGGTTATTTTAATGTAGGTGTAATTGTTTAGTGTATATTATTACAAACTCTCGTACCTTCAGGAAACACCACTCTCATCTTCAGGTAGCTGGTGGTCAGCCGGATGATGGAGGCTTTGTCCAGCTGCGAGGTGATGGCGGAGGGCAGCGGCAGCAGCTTGGCCAGCTCATAAAACTCACTGTTTTCCTTTTCCCGCCGAGTCCGGGCCGCGTTTTTAGACTTCTCCTTCATGATGCCGTGTGTTTCCCCGGCTCTTAGTCCTGCGGCGGTGCGTCTCTGTCCCGCTGTCTCATAGCACTGACCCCCCCACACAGGAAGCTACACTTGTCTCCACGCGCGGCCTATCATCCACAGCAGCTGGCGCGTGAACACATTCCCATATTTCCAGGTGTTCCGGTGGTTGGCTGTGAGCTGGACTCGGCTAATTCCTGGATTTCTGAGGATTACAGTGCGCTTTAGTCAGCCCATTGGACTCCATGTTGTCATCACAGCTAATGTCCAGAGGAACAGTAGGCCTGTGCGGGGAATGCAAGTGTGACTATAACTTTATTTTGTTCTATCTAGGCCTATAGTAGGCTATATTGAGAGGGTACGAAACATACAACTAACATGGACACTTGTTTGAATTGTTTATACAGACATGTAGTGACTCAAGTCTACTTTTAGAGTCGCATTTAATAGCCTATATCTATTACTGCTTACCTCAGGGCAGAGAATCGACAGTTTGCTAAACGGACGCCTTGTGGGCTTCACGGTGCCGGGGCAGAATCTCCATTAAGCCCGGCATTCCCTTATCTTCCATCCTCTGTGAGTTTATGGACTGGACAGCAGCACATCCAGAGCCTGCTCATAGCTGCAGGATCCAACACCCGCCCCCTACAGGCAGCTCTGCTCCTATTGGAAGATTTAATAGCCTTTCCACCGTTTGATTGGTTGCTCTTTTTGATGACGCCGTCCATCAGGATCGGGGATTGGCTGTTTGTAAATGTTTACCTCTGGCACAGTCCGTTCACTCTCTTTAGGGAGAGAGATAACTGTAATGAAGATCTATTTAAAACATATCAGTATGAAAGATTTATCGTAGGCTATAAACACAAATTACACATCTATTTAAATGTTGTTTTAAAGACATTTACCATCTGTGTGCATTCTCCTTCATTTAGCACAGCCCTCAGGCCTATGGCCTACTACATCCTTTCAATTTTCAAAATGTGTTAAATTGTTATTGCCGCAATATCAACATTCAAACTCTCTCAATAACACGTTTAATCATGATTCAAAATTACATGTCTGATGTTAATAACTTCCACACCTTATGGTCTAGCAGTTTCCGTGACGGCAGAGGCCTCTTTAACCTGCAGAAGATCCGAAACTGGTTATTATGGTCTATATTACACATAGGCTTTCACTTGGTGTATTCAATATGCGTATACAGCCTATGTAGAATTACAATATAATAATTGTTCTAACTTGTTGTAAGTTCAATTCAGAGTCCAATCTTTGTGTTATTTCTCAGGAAGTCTCTCATCTTATTGGTTTGTTCTCCAGAAAATAGAAAAATAAAGCACATCACGGTGTAACCTAACATGAGGTGTGCGGTTCACTCAACACTCTGTGGAGCCTTTATCCATTGTAGGTCAATAATAAATCATTATGAATGCAGGATAATGCTCAGTGCGTTTCTGAGGTATGGATGTGCTACACTTGTCCTGCAGTTGGACAGAGAGCGGACGGGCTATGATGGAGCAGCCTCCCCCTCTCCCCTTCTCTCCTCCCGGCATGGTGAGTGCGGCAGGCCGGTAATGGGCTCCAGCCCGCGGGGGGGGGGGGGGGGGGGGGGGGGGGGGGGGGGGGAGCTGCAGCCGCACGGAGGGGCTGACTCTGTTTAACCTTTCTTAAACTGTAATTAGACTGTTACTGTGGAAAATATGACGATTGAGGATCCTCCATATGATTAAGTCTCCGTGCAGTTAGCCTAAAAATAATCGAGCTTCACTTCCAGGCTTTTTCCTTCAAGCACAGCCTAGCGTCTGACAAAAGTTTCAATAGGTACAAACTGCAGATATATATTAATGAGATGCATCAGTGACAGTGCAGCCTGCGGGGAATAATGAATTAAAAAACACTTTAATAATAACACTTAATTAATTCGTATACGTATTTTTATATACATTCTAACAGTATTGTTTCAGAATAATATAAAGTCAATTAAACACCTTTAGACTCTGGACTTTGGCTAATTGTAGACGTCATGACGTCGGTTTGGAGGATTTTGCGATGGGCATTATTCATTTTTTTGTATAGACCAAATGATTATTTATGGGGGAAAAAAAGGCATATTAATTGTAAATAAAATAAATGAATCATTAGTTTCAGTCTTTGACACTGCACAATAACATGTAAGATCTAAAACCTACTTTTTGACACTTGGCTTTAGGATTATAAACAAATATGTTGATAGTAATTCAGTGAGGCACATTTCCAACAAACGATCTTTTTTTTTTGCCACACAGATATTGCCTCAATGCATTGCCTGCTTTGTGCAGTCAGTAGATGTGGGGCACAATATCAAAGATGCACTCCATGTGTTAAAAGGGTTTGTGCTTAGGGTCTTCAAGACCTCTTAAAGCTCGTCTTAAAGAGAGTCCATACAAGACCTTCACTTTTTGTTTTGTTTTGTGCTTATATGTTGAATATTTCTGAATAGATTTGTGTTTAACGGAATTGCTAGACACAAACCTGGCATCATGTTGTGTTCCAGCATGGACACACTTTTCAAATTGCAGAGATTTAGGAATTGTGGGTTGAAAATGTGTTATGAAAATGGCGACTGTATTTAGTTCTTGAGTAGCAAAGTCAGAAACACACGCAGTGAGAAACAGATCTGCGTGGTGACATTCACACGAGGAAACAAATCTGACAGGAACTGGATTCCTGCTGCTTCAGGGCACAGCCAAGATTTTAGAAATACTGAGGTCATACATTCATATTCTCCCCAGCGGGACTCCACGCACAGAAGACAACTTTCTTCTAACCACCGTGAAACATTTTTGGGGAATTAAAAACAGCAAAACATGAAATAGCAAATGTTCTATTCTCTTAAACTATTAGTTTTCTTTGTAAATGTTGTCTCCCAAAATGACATGCTGTTTTATACCCACACCGCCGCGTATCTATTTTTATCACACATCTGTGGTGAAAAATACTAAATCCCTTTATTATTATGTAGTTTGGCCGGGAACATGTAACACATTCTGTGTAAACAATAACTCCAGAGCTGTCTTAAAGGTCTAACATTGATGATGTGTGTAATGTGTGTGACCAAAGAATACCCACTCCTCTTCCGGTCATTAAACCTCCAGAACTGTTGCAGGGTCGTGACCTCTGTGACACAGCTATCTGATGCGGGTCTGACCTTTAGAAATGCTCCGGTTACTCCATCCCTTTTCTTTCAGCTCCAAAATGATCAGCTCAACTCACTTATCATTTTTGGGCTGAAGAGAGTGATTCAGCTTTCTCCTGAAGTTCCTTAAAGTGCAGCAGGCACACTGCTTATTGTGAGTGCAAACAGAAGAATTGGATTAGAGCCTGACACCTTTTTAAAGACCATGTAAACAGGCACAACTAATGTGATCCAGTTTAGAAAAGGAGTCCTGGGTAGACAGCTCTATAAACAAAGCCTTAGGGTGTGCTAATCTACAGGAGCTTTACAAAGTCAAATTCAGGCAACACAAGCAGAACAAAATAGTCTAGTGTCGGCTTCTGTTTAACTGTCAGGAAGTTGGGATTCTAGATTTAGATTTGACCTATGATGATAATGTGGTAATTTCTTAGAGACACATATTCTTCATTGAGTAAATCCCAAAGGGTTTATTATGATAGAATTCACATGTATCACATATTTGCTGTGGCAGACCCAACAACATTATAATATAACTATCCTCAAGCCATTTCTGAATGTGCATTATAACAGTTAGCTTGTTGAAACTACCCTACAATATTTTGTTCATATTGAGGATCGTGCAGCCCACCATTGATGATGCAAGGGAATACGTTCAGTCCCATTTCTTTCAGGTAGGTCATGTTGACACGGCAGTAAAACACATGGTGTACATAATGAAATGAACGATGGCTCATCTCAGTGAGATCTGTATGTAAATGACCTGTGCTGCCACTTAGGTGCCATTGGCCTTCTTGTAATGAAGTGCTGCCTTATCCCGCCCACTGGAAGCGTCGAGGATCCCTATTGGTGCTGTACCTGGAGCGACCCACCAATCCCAGCACGCACCTGCAGATGGAGGCTGAACTGTGGACAGCCGTCACTGAGGCTGAATCGTGTCAGACGTAACGTTCCTCTCGTTCGTGGGTCTGTTGTATATTAATGGTGATGAACTCCTGAGGTTCTGTTTGTGCGACCTGTTAGCTTTGTGAACTTGCTTAAAAGTAATACCCGTCTGTCATATTTATGCTATCATTAGTCTGGGCCACATAGGAGTTTAAACTGATTTTACACACACTGTAGTAACTTCATGTTGGTGGTGTTAGGAGCAGGGGGACTCTAAACTGAATTGAGCTGCTCGGGTTTCGGGTTGCTCGTATGCTAGCAGTACAGATTACAACACCACATTTTACCCTAATTTCACTACTGTTGAAGTTTTTATTCTTAAAACACTTATTTTGCTGGCCTGCCTGTATCACACAGGTACTGCACACGGTCTCATGGATGTACAAGGGGGTCTTTTTGTATATCTTTTTACACAAGATATACCTTTTCACTACGGTTTTCTTCACTGCAACTTCCCTATTTTTGATCATTAAAACAGATGGATGAACAATAAATCACAGTTATCATTTATACTGCATTACTCTGTTGGGGTAAATCCGTAAAGCATGTTGCATTCTGCCCACATCTTCAGTTAATGTTGTATAGTTTCACACAATATCCAACAATTAGCAACTATTATAGTTGAGGTTATAATAAAGGAGGAGGAAAAGCCTAATAAAAGAATAATTGCTTATTGATTTGAATGTAAACTTGTTGTGTGTGTGTGATGCATGGTACCCTTTTTGCTCTTTAGTCAACGAAGTGACCAGCTTACATAACACTGTAGTTACATATTTCATGTTGACTGGAAATGTTTTTTTGGAGTAAATCAAACTACAGTGGCAAACAAAATAAAAGTAATTGAAGTGTGATGAAGCGTGCATACACATGATTGTGCCCTTTGGATCGGTTTGATGACATGTTGTATCTGAAGCTCACTGACACCTTTATTCTTTTGACAAAACAATCTTTATTTCACAGCCATGTGTGTATAACATATTTGGTCTAGAAAAACAGACTTCTTATGAAATTGAAAAATGGTCAAAGGATAAGTGCCTGCTGTGACATCACTGACCGAGGCATGGTCAAAGAGCAACACCGTTTACAGTTCCAGATGATCATTACTGGTACATTAGGTTAACTCAATACAAGGAACACTTCAAATCAAATACCTTTAATTAAACCTTTCCCTTTGAAAGACTTACAAATATTTTTCTGATGCAAATACAGTGGTGCAGGAATGAGTCCGAAAACCTGGAAATGAGCATTTCAGCCCTTCTGGTTTGCTTGTCTCAGTGTTGATTCTTTTTGAAATCTGTTTTTGATATGATCTATGGTCAACACAAGCTGAAGAGATGTTCTCATTTTATAGCCACGCCAAACATTAGCCACCTTTAGCTTAGCGGTGGTGAAGTAATGCGAAGATGATATTGTTCCTTTATATCCTCACGTTAGCTTCTGGAAATGACATTAAAGCTTCAACGTAAGTATCATAAACGTGTTCTTATTTTCTGCATTTGTCCAAATTCCAAGGGAAAAAACCTCATCCCTGCAACACTTTATTTGACAGATATTTAATAATCAGAGAAATCCAGAGTAGAGGAGACACAACAGCAGCTTCAATTGTCCAGAATGCAATGCAGTGAGGAGGTGAAGCTCACTGATGACTGAAGCGTCAGAGCAGCTGATTCAAAGTGCACGGAGCAACATATCACATCCCAATCTGTGCAGCATGAGGATCCTGAGGGGGGGGTTCGCTCACTGAGTCACCTCTGTGTTCACCTGAGCACTGATGCTGGCGGCTGTTACGTTCAGGTGGATGTCGTACTGCTGGTCCAGACCCAGATAGCAGTCACTCATCAGGTACAGGGTGTAGATGCACCTGAGGCAGAGAGGGTACACAGGTAAGAATGTATGATCCAGACTGACATCTTTAAGTAGAATAAGAAAAGCTAAGATAAGTCTGTTGATATTTGCGTTTTTTTCTAATTTCCAATAACCCCCTTTTAACTCAGTCTCACATACATGGTCCTGCTGCCCAAAAGATTGAATAAAGCAACAAAGAGTAATGTTGCTAAAAGCTACCATGGCTAATGGTTTTAGGAAATCATGGAACCTCTAAAAACTCAAGTTGATTTTCATGTGATTTTGTCACCTCCCACAGTCTAGTTTTCAATCTAATAAGGCAGTTTAATTCTGTGAAGAAAGGACTGTTTTATCAAGTCATTCACAGTCCATGCTTCCCCTTGAGTAATCTAAATGACTGATATTCCTGTATGTATAACACATCTCACATTTCACGAGTTCTTTGACCGCTGAAGACCACGTCAGAACGTGCACCAATGTCTAGACACACTCTGCTAAGTAGATGTTTAAGTATTTGATTGTAAAGTACTACTATGCTCCTAATCCAGAGTGTGTGTGGATAATAAAGCAGTTCAGTGTGTGCGACCTGAAACTCTCAAACGGAGGTGTTTGTTTACAGCGGCTGTGTACGGAGTGTGTGTGTGAAGCTTGTGTTCTCGCTCCTGTTTGAGTTACTGCTTACTTCCCGGTCTTCTCTGGAGTGTAGAAGGCCACGGACACAGCTGTGCGCTGGCGGACGTATCCGATCCGTTTGACGGCCAGCAGCTCCCGGCGGTCCACCTCCCCCACCACCAGGAACCAGCCTTCATCCTTCAGTTTGGGGAACCTGGGAGCCTGCGCCTTGCTGTCCTGCTTCCTCTGAAACACACACACACACACACACACACACACACACACACACACACACACACACACACACACACACACACACACACACACACACACACACACACACACACACACACACACACACACACACACACACACACACACACACACACACACACACACACACACACACACACACACACACACACACACACACACACACACACACACACACACACACACACACACACACACACACACACACACACACACACACACACACACACACACACACACTGCAGTGTCACACAGGCGGACAGACTCAGAACGTCACAGTTATTTTATTATGAGATCTCAGCACTTGGAAGATAATTGTATAATGCCTACAGGAGACTGCTATGCAAAATAATAAATATAATACTAATAACAACAGTTAGTTTATGTTGTTGGGATACTACTGTTTCATAGCTGTCCATTTCAAAAGCCAGATCCAGAAGTTTATTCTTCAAAATGACTTTGTGTTTGAGACAAGGCTTTTTAACAGAGCCCCTCTAGGGTCACATGGTACAGAAAAAAAACAAAAAAACCTGCATACAAATATATATGTGAGCAAACTGAATATTTAAGTACATTTTTATACTTCAAAAGCTTACTTAAGAAATATGTTTACTGCTGATGGAGTATTTGTTATTAAAATATATTGTAGCAAAAATAGTTTTTAGCAAAAATAATGCAGATCTGAATGTTTGGATGTAATTTCCTGTAGAAAGATTACAGTCTCGTAAAAAGACGTATATTGAGGGCTGGCTCAGGCTTCAATCCTCCTGGAAATATGATTGTAAAACAGCAGAAGATACAATGACATAAGACTAAGGTCACATTATTTTCAATCATTGTTATACATAAACACAGGATTGTTTGAAAAGTTTAAGAGACACTGGTGGTTGGGATTCAGAAGACACTTTTGCAAATCCATTCAAACGTACTTAGGTCGCATTCACACCTAATAGTCCGCTTCTCTGGTGCGCACCAGACGACAGTTTGTTACAGTGTTTCATTTTTCAGAAGGTTCGGTTTGCGTTCACACGGGCAAAACTCAAACGGACTATAAGCTTTAAACACAAGTCATGTGCTCGGAAATGCTGTTCAACCATTGGTCAGACATTAAGGGGGTAAAAACACAAATCCCGGCAATTTCTACCGGAGCTTCCACCATGGAACATCGGCAGGTTATTTTCATGCTGTCTTTAATCTGGAGAGCATATCAACAGATTCTAGCAACGGCGCATATGATTATATAATCAGACAACGTTCGTTAAAAAACATTAAAACACATATAATGAGACGTTCTGCAGTAAGGAGGGGGTTTCACCGACGACAGGTGGCTCTGACTTTTATGTATAGTTTTTAGTTTGATAGTTGTTTTTACTTTACAAGACACTGTTCAACACTTCATTCTACTTCACTATTTCGCTATTTTGAAGACATCCGCGTTCTTGTGACACGTAAATACTACACTTCCTATGTTTTGGTGCGGACTACGTTCACACCAGCGATGAACCGCTCCAGAGTTCACGAGCAAGCGGTCCGAGACCACCTCTTTTAGGCGGACCAGAGTCCGGTTGTTTAGTTCACTTCAGAGGTCTCGGACTGCGGCTAAACGCACCAGGGTTCGATTCAACCGGACTATACAAGGCTGGTGTGAATGCGACTACACATCAAGTTTTGTTTCCTACCTTGTGAATTTAATAATAAACCCATGGCCATGTGCAATGTAGGTAAAATAAGATAATATACCTGGTGACAGGGTTTTTGGCCTCTTTAAATAAACATCAGATTGAATGTATTCAGGTGGTTCAATATGTTCCTAGAGGAGTCTGTCTCCCAGCAGCTTCTCAGAGGTGGAAACCTTTTCATAAACCAGTCCCCCAACTGTACTGAATCCCTGGAGTATCCACAGCATCTGAAGAGCAGTATATCTCTCTGAGGCTCCCCTGCATCTGCAGCCAACATGCAGCGCAACTCCAGCAAAGAATGCAGTTTAAAGAATAGTCAAAAGATAAAAAAACCCAGTTTAAATCAATAAAATAATTTATGGGGCAATAAATCTGACAGGATCAAAAGAGCTCAGCCTGTATGATGATTATAGACATGATGGTCTGATATTGTTAAACCTTTAAAGAACTTAAATAAAACGTATGTGCTGCAAGACTAATGTGCAAGTAATGCAGGAGAAGTAAACTTTATACATGTAAAATAGAATTAGATGAGCTAAAAATAGAATATAAATTAATTGCTGTACAGTAAGATAAAACACTGCTTATTTTAATAATAGATAAATATGTGAGATGCAAACAGATGGATGCTATGAAGTTGTGAAGGCACAGAGTTTAGCGGGAGTAAACTGTCCCTATTATATTGTATTATATATAATTAGCAGATTTAACTTTGTCACTATTTGGTGTTTGATATGTTCTCATTGGACAGAGTGTGTGCTGGGTGTACTGACCCTCTGCTGGCCCGCGTTGATGCGTCTCAGAGCGACCTGCAGGACGTACTCCTGGTCAGCGTGGACCTGCAGCCAGCCACCCTCCCCCCCCCGCTGGGCTCCTGCTGCGGGGAGGCGGCGCTCCGTCTGCTCCCGGCTCGCCTCCCACCAGCCCTTCACACTCAGCTCCACCTCCAGCACCGGGAGGTGGCTCAGGAAGGACCAGGCCTGACCGGAGAGAGAAGATCCATGTCACGTCTCTTATACTGTTCCACATTCACCAAAACAATCTCACATTTGCACCACTTCATCAGAGTTGGTGGTGCAAAAGATTACAGTAGTCTTCACAAGTCTGGCCTCTGGAAGTATTACAGCTAGGATTTTTAGATCTGGTCCATTACAGGTGCATACTGCACATTTTACAAGTTTACCAGGAAGTGTACACACAAAGTTTAAATGTCAGGCTGGGTATCAGTACTCGATATCTTTAGGGTATCGACCAGATAACCCAGAACCAAGAAGAATGGCAACTTCTACATTCAAACAATACCTTCATTTGATCATTTTTGTACCCAGATCTATAAAACAAATAATATTTGAGAGAGTTATTCTCACAGATAATCATCACAAGCAATTGGATGTGGCCTGTGATTGGCCCACTACAGCAGCAGCTAAGTTCATTCCCCTCTCTGCACATGAATAACACAAAGCGGCAGGAACATCATCCTTTCTTTACGTTTTTTTCATTTGTAATGAAAGTGGTATCCTAAGTCAGAATTCTGACTTTAAAGGTCACCTATTATGCAAAATCTTTCTTCTACATCAACATGAGTCCCCTCTGTGTAAAGAGACTCTGAAAGTTTCAGGAAAAAAGATTCTCTCTCTTTTTGTCCTGATCCATTTATATAAAACCCTGTTTGAAAATGAGCTGATCAGATTTTGGCCACTTTGTGATGTCATAACGATGTTTTGCCTTGTGTAACAATTAGCCAATCACCAACCAAGGTACCCAAGGTTGCTTTTAATCATACGAAGCCAGATTAAATTAAATAACGACTTCTCCAACCTTATACTTTTCTCCAGAGTGCCGTGGTTCATTGTTTATTAATGTGTTTCAGCGGCATTTACCGACCGCTGCTGGCTGCTCTTCCACGGGAGTGTATTCTCCCGTTAGCTCCGGGTTAGCTCACACGGCTCTAAAGTATTCACTGTCTTTACTGTCACACAAGCAGCTGATACATATCCCCAGTTCCCCTTAAGTGAATGTGTGTCAGTCTGAATTGACGCTGTTTGGCATCACAACGCTGTTATGAAAGTTTCTCTGGTATAACATGGGTGATGTTAGCATAGCAACCGAAGCTAAACTGACTACTTGCTAAGCCGTTTTCTACAGGCACATTTTACCGGCGTATTTTTCATTATGATTCTACTTGTGATAGTCGGACATGACAACCTGTGCAGCCCATGTATTGATTCCATCCGATAGCTGCTATAATAACAAACAAAACGTCTGCCTGCTCTCCACAATGATCAATAACAGCGAACGGATGGTCAAAGTAAGGTACAAATAAACAGAATCACACGAAGCCTGGTTAGTGTTGCCTGACTTTATAAAGTAAGTTTTTTTTTATAAGTGTGTGGTTGCGTTCTAGTCACTTTGCTCAGCGCTACTGCTTGTAGGCAGGCATGACGAGACTCTTCAGTCGACCCATGTTCAGGGGAGGTGGGTTTAGTTTCCTGCACGCCTCGACGTAAGAGAGACGTAAGCGACGCCGCGTCATAGCTCCGAAGCTCTTGCCTCTAGACCGACAATTTTTTGGAGCTGGAAGTGAACCGCATTCCGGAGCTATGAGGCGGCGCCGCTGCGGTGTGAACAGGAAAAACCGGTACTTTTCAGGCTCCAGCTCCGAGCCGGAGCTGAAAAAGCGCCGGTGTGAAAGGGGCATAAAAGGGGCGTGGGGAGTGGCTCCTTATTTTCATCTAAAGTAATAGACACAGAATCAGCACTTTTGAAACAGGGCTGAAACAGAGGGGATTATGGGATGCTGCAATGATCTGTTTGGTGTTTAAGCCAATCAGAGACATGTTTTGTATATATCTGAGACCTATAATATATTGATGAAAAACAGTATAATAGGGGACCTTTAAATTCTGACTTGTTTCACAGAATTCTGACTCTTTTAAGTCCGAATATTTTCACATTGCCCTTATCCTATTCTCTACAGAAAAGAAAAAAGAAGAGGCTCTGTGTTGATAGACAGTTCAGCTTTACAGTAAACCTGCAGTTTAATAACAGTTATTTGTTTCTATTGTTGTTCCATGGCCTTGTGTCCCTCTTTAGTATTTCTATGGAGAATTTAACGTTTGGCTCAGCACAAAAGCCCCGTCATAGGAAGACATAAAAAAGATAAAGAAAGTGTCAGGAGAGAAAACACTGGTGCTAGTGTGTGTTTGTGTGTGTGTGTGTGTGTGTGTGTGTGTGTGTGTGTGTGTGTGTGTCAGTGTATTGAGTTAAGAGAAAAGCCTCTCTGATTCACCCGGCAAAAGCCATTTATGTGAGGATTACTCTCCCTGGGCAAGTCAGCCCGGAACGCTGCTGCACATCTAATTATTTAATTAGAGAGGCCGCCACACTGTGGGGGGCTGGGGGCAGAGGGGGGGGTAAAGGTGGGGAAGGAGGAAAGCGGGGACACTGATTGGGTGAAGCTGCAGGGCCTGCCATGGTGCCCGGACACTCTCATTACTGCAGCAATTAGCACTTAAGTTGGAGCTGTACACCCTATCAGAGCAGAGTGATGGGGATCCTGGAGGATTCTGGGAGCACAGCGGCAGGACTGCTCATCGCTCGTCACCGATAATGGTGTGTCTGAGTGTGTGTGTGATCTGCATGCACTAAGTGTAGCAATTCATTCTGAAGACATTTTTTTGCTAAATATTTTCCCTATTTCTGTCCCCAAAGTACACATTTCACCAATATAATGACATATTTCCATCGGTGTGATGATATTTGTAATCTCACCTGGGCGATCTGACTGGATTGAAGCTCTTGGCCGACAATGGCAGCGAAAACACTTTCCTTCCCGTTGCAGGCAGCGATCAGCTCAGGAAGTCCTTCGATCTGCCCGCTGGAGCCCCCCCCACTGCTCCTTCCCTTCTTGTTTGCCCATTTGCTGTGAGTAAGAGAGGGAGAGGAGATTTGTTGTACATGAAGCAGACTTATAACAGACCCTATCCCATGATTCACGCTGCCTCAGGAAAGGGACTACAGATCTTAATTTCTCATCTCTCTCATTGTTATTGTTTGCACAACATTATTTAACACGGTGCAGGCCTGGACATCCTTAGTGTGTACATGGAAAAACGTACACTGTGGGCTTTACAAATATATGTATAAATGTGTGTGTGTGTGTTTTTACCTGTGCAGGAGGTTTTAATAATGTAAATGCTGGTGTTTGCTCAGTTTCATACCTGGGGGTGTGGATGGTCATATTATATAATATATATATTACATGCTTATTTTCAGGTTCATGTATGTATGTAGTGTCTCTACTGGGACACGTCTCCAGGCTCTAATGTTCAAAAAGCTCTTGATTTTTCTCATACAGCCTCTGCTGCAGCTCCTCTTTTCACCCTCTGTCTGAAACCAGAGCCCAGTCTGCTCTGATTGGTTAGCTGGCCGGCTCTGTTGTGACTGGTCCACCACTTATGGCGCTTTTCCACTGCAGGACCTAGCACGGCTTAGTACGGTATGGTTAGGCCTTGGTAGGCCAGGCTCACTTTATGCTGCGTTTCCATTACAGTTTAGTAGCTGGGGCAGCAGTGTTGTTGTCAAGTCACCAATTCACAAGTCCAAGTCACTCTCGAGTCACCACTCTTCGAGTCCAAGTCCAAGTCCGAGTCACCAAGGGAGAGTCGTAGTCGAGTCCGAGTCCAAGTCCGAGTCACCCAAGAAGAGTCCAAGTCAAGTCCGAGTCACAAGTCTTCATGTATTAATCTTCGTGGATATATGTGTTGAAATGTAGCTGCTCCTCTACATTGCTTTCATCCTGTCATGTTATACTAATCTGTCTATTGAACTGCTGTGAAGCCAGTTTGGCTACAATTCTTGTAATAGGTGCTATACAAATATAAAGCTTATTACTAATATTAATATTATTATTATATATAAATAAACTATATTTAAAATGCGTTACCTTTTAGAGAAGTGATTATATTTGTATGCCAATATTTTCCTATGGTAAAGTTTTCGTTTTGCACTTTTATTTTGATAGTAATAAGATCGGGACTCTTATTTTGAAGGAACTTTTACCGGTTAAATCGGTTTACTGATGAAGATTCAGCCGATAACACGAAAGCACATGGCTACTTAGCATGCAAAATGACGTCATTCTGCATGCTAAGTAGCCATGTGCTTTCGTGTTATCGGCTGAATCTTTATTTATTTATTAGATCACGTTACTCTGATGATAGTGTTCAAGACAGCCTATATGTCTGAACTCGATGTTTAGAGTAATGTGTTACGGAGCCTTCTCTTCAATATTGTTTCCACATAACGAGCATTTTGCGCTGCTCTTTTCCAATGTGGAAGCGAATGTGTGAAAGCATACAGCACGATGCGGGGTGTGTCTCTAGACATCTTTAGACTGGAATGCGGGGCCCAGTACGTGAACTCGCCTCGCAGCCGGTGCACACGCCAGGATAGAGGACATCAGACTCCATAGAAAACTTGCTCGAGTCCGAGTCCAAGTCGGAGCGTCAATGTACAAGTCGAGTCCGAGTCATCGTGGGGGAAAAATTCACGAGTCCGAGTCCAAGTCATCGTGCGCCAGAATTCACGAGTCCAAGTCCGAGTCGCGTCAATCAGTGCGGGAGTCCGAGTCGAGTCCGAGTCACGACTCCCGAAAATCGGCACTCGAGTACTCCATCTCTGTGGGGCAGTAACTATAGTAACGCAGTGTAGGCGGAGCGACGCTGCGTAAAACTGCCCTGATGTCATCTTCAATGCGAACCACAAAACCAAAACATCAGCCGTTAGCTGTTAGCACTCAGAGCTCACAGCTCCTCATATCTGTTCATAAACTAGACAAAAGTTAAACAAGTACAAACCACAGACTGCCTGTGTCATGGCGAATACAGTCGCTGGTTTATTTATGTCTGTATAGGCCGTTGTTGTGAGTGTGGACGGTCGGAGCATATACTGCGTTAGCTTAGCCGATCTTCATTTAGAAAACACGCATTTTAAAAGGTTTTTCCCCTGCCGTCTGTCTGCAGACTTATCAAAGCATTAATTCATGGTTTTTACTAACCGGTATCAGTATGTTGTTACTTCGGCATCATTTTGAAACGTGTATTACAATTAAATCACGGTAAAATATGTTAATTTTGTTGTAGTTGTAGCCCCCTTGCCAGCGATTCTCTCTGACCATTCAGCAGTCGAGAGTGTTTACGTCACTAGTTTAGCATATTCAGCCCGGTTCTTGGCCCGGTAAGAACCTCGATTTTGGAGGGCCAGAAAAAAGGTGAAAAAGTAGCCTTAAGCCGGAACTACCCCTAGTGGAAAAGCAAAAAGAGTGCTACGTGCTGCAGTGGAAAAGCGCCATTAGAGATGTGTCAGAAATGTCCCGCCCCTTAGCATACAATGTGTTGGAGCGCCAGCCAATAGAAGTGCAAGTGTTACATACTGATGTCACTATGTTACAGCAGTAACCAAAGGAGTCCAATGGAGGCGTTTCAGGCAGGGCGATAATGATGCATACATTACAGAGTAATGCTAGTTGTTACAGTAGCCAGACCTTAAAGCTATGAGGCCTTAACTATATAACTATAGTCCTTAAGATGACATGTGAAGAAGCCGTTCGGACTCTAATGAAACATGTTGCGTTGTTCACTGATGCTAATCACAGCTGGAGAACACTGACGCAGATTAGCCATGTAGCAGCTATCTACAAATCCTTGTGCAGCATTCAAGCTGTTCCTGATGTTGTGTACCTGAACAGATAGAGGTGCTGCTGTTCCACATGAGGCAGGGTCAGCAGGGGGGAGTCGTGCAGCCAGCGGCCCTGCACCACCATCTGCACCAGGTTACAGATACTGAGAGCGGCCACCAGCCAGCCTTCGTTAGCAGCTACATCCAGCATAGCCTGAGCACAGGAAACAGGAAGTATGACCAAATGCATATATCAATATTTCCCTAGAAAAGCCTCAGAATTAAGATATTTGAAATAAAAAACATTATAGTGGCACATGGCACAAGCATTGAAAATAAATATTTGAAAGTAGCATAACACAGTGGACTTTAGCAGGGGACTCACTATCAGCCACATTGTAATCATAAAAAAGCATTTTGAAAACTGACTGTTATTCAGTTTTATTTAACACGCAGCAACTTACAGTAACAAAGGTACATCAATCAATTAACATAACAATTACATATGATTATATGCCTTCATTGGTTTGTTTTTTACACATTATAATTTTGATAACTAACAAAATAAAATTGAATAATTTGACAGCCTAAGTTCTTTGTCATCACTCACCCTGCAGGGTTTATACTGAGTTCCCCCCCCCCCACCTTTAGGTCTGTTGTTGCGTAAAGCTTGGGGTTAGGTCGGATTTTTTTCCCGATGTAATTCATCAATACATTTAGCTCTTTCTCTCTCCACCTGTCACAATCATCTGAGTCCATGTGTGTCATGTGTTGCAATTAGACACGCAAAGCCTAAGAGACAGAGTGTAGCTAATGCGGGGTTAGCTGACAGTCACGGACCAAATAAAGCCTTTCGGAAAGATTAATTCACATTTTTCACATACTTTAAGTTGTATAAATACATGTATAAAACAAATCAACCATAAAGAAAGTGGAGAGCAGTATCATTGTATTAAATGGTAGCAGCAGGACACCAGAGAAGTAACCACATCCATGATCCATGCAATATCACTGCCAGATACACAGCATGGAAAATCACAAGCACATGTACATATGCACACGCACAAACAGCCATCCTGAGCTGTGGACAATGGCTTGCAGACGTTGAGACATGGGCCTAACTTCAAACAGTACATACAAAGAACCTACATGTAGATAGCCAGCGCATCACACTTCTAACACAAAATAACCTGGATGGAGCATTGTAATGGATAATGTTTGTTATCAAGGTTACTCACTCATATAACCAACCACTAAGTGCTCTGTTGTGGAACACGTGCAGTCACAGTCACAACAGAACCCTTGTGGATGCCAGACAAAGATTCTGGGTTTTAGATGTAACCTCGGAGCATTGTGTTATTTATGAGATGGATCAGCAAGTTCAGCTACAAATCACCTACTAATGTTTAACATTCCCCTTTTTAATCTGCTTCATCTACAGCACAGCACCGCTTCCCAACATGTGCTGTTTTCATGTGCAATGCATTATTCAAATATATTAGTAATGTATTGTTCTTAACACTTTTTACGTCATGTTGATAAATGCTGCTGTTAATGGTTCTGAACTTGTTTTAATATTCTACTTTAACCCTTTAGTTTTAGATATACAATGGAACTTTTATGAACTAAAAGTAATGCTTTTCCTCAAAGGCATCATCAGGTTAGACCGCTTTTATACGATTCCTGCTTTTATCAGCAACTGGAAAGTTATTCTTGCAAATTATCCTATTTCAGTAATTTCAATTCTTGAACACATTCCATCACTAGCATTAGGCGCGTTCACACCGGAGTACTTTTCACCGTACTTTTCGCGTTTAGTTCCGTTAGTACCCCTTATGTCGCGTTCACACCAAAAAGAGAACTTCATCTCGGGAACTTTTACCCCCATTTTTAGTGCCTGCTGAGAGATGGTACTTTCCTGGGGGAAAAAAGTGCCCCGTAAAACTCTGAAATGTTTTGTAGAGCCGCCATTTTATTATCCTCGCATTAGCATTATTAGCATTAGCATTCGCCCAGCGCACAAACGCAGAGAGACTAATTTATGGCAACACAAAATAAAACATGGGAGCGGTGGAGATGAGGAGGTGTCGGCGTTCTGGCGATTTACTCGGAAGGCTTCAGTAGACGCTGCTGACAGCAGCTTCTACTGAAGCCAGTCCCCAACTCCGGGGACTTCCGGCCGGGGACTCCGGGTGGCAGTATACGCCGTGAAGTTGTTTGCGGCCTGCCAGTAATCCCAAAGCAGAAGAAGACGAAGTGACGTCAGCGGCTCATTTGCGTAATCTTCCCTCAGGGAACTTATTCCGGTGTGAACGCGATCTGTACTAAATGCCCTGGGGTAATAAGTGCCGGGGCACTGAGTGCCGGCACTGAGTACGGCAAAGTACTTGGTGTGAACGCGGCTATTGTCAACGTATACAACTTTGTTGGCCCTCGTAGCTTTTTTTACCAACTTGCTGGTTTAAAGTCAGAATCCTGAAACCAGAATGTTTTGTACATAGCAGCATCAGGAATCATGCAACATTGGATGTTAGAATACAAAGTCACTGGTATTGTTGCAAATAAAAAACAAAAACAATATCATACATATTGTCACTTGCAGTTATGCCTGAATGCCCTAACACAGCAGCTTCTCCGGCCTGTTGAGTCAGTCAGTCTTTTGCAAGGCCACAGCTCAGTTTTCTACATGGTGAACCACCAGATCCTCCTCACCATCCTCCAAGAACAATCGGTTTCTAAATCTGCACTCTCCATGTCAACCTCCAATGTCAGGTACTGCACTTACTGGAGGAGATTCTGAGTCTCATCCTCGTAGCCTTACTAATGGAGTCCCTCAGGGTTCTGTTCTGGGTCCCCTCCTCTTTTCTCTTTACCGCAAGTCATTTGACTCTATTATTCACTAAATGTCTGCATGTGCCTTCCGACCTCTAATATTCATTCAGAATAAAGCAGCCCTGCTGGTTGTCAACCTACCCAAGTTCTCATACACCTCCCCTCTGCACCATTCACTGGCTCTCAATGGCTGCTCCAATCCTATTAGAGACACTGGGACTTGCCTACCATACTATTGTTTAGATCTATCCTACATCCAGGACATGGCCAAACAGTACACTATATCCTGTCCACTACTCTCTGCATCGGCAAGGGGATTACTAATCCTTCAATACGCAGAGACAAGCTACCGTAACGTAACGTTTGCTGTAGTTGCTTATTGTAGTCCACAATGGTGGAACACAATCCTAACTCTACACATCTTAAGACTGAAAATACAATTGCTCTAACTCCCCCTTTGCACATTCAAATAAAATATCATTCTCTATTTATTCCCGTTTTTAAATGTTGCACTTAAAACGGTTCAGCATATCTGATGCTTGATATTTGACATGCATTTTGTTGTTTTATCCTCACGGTTTTATTCTACCTTGTTTTGGATAAAAGTGTCAGCTAGATGAATGTAACGTTATCAAGTGAGTCATTTGTTGCCCAGGGAGTCCTACCTGACAGACTCGTATGGTGTTGTCCAGCACCGTCTTGGTGTCGGTGTTGTAGTCGCTGCATGGCAGCTGGGCGTGGCTGAAGTGGGCTTGCAGCAGCAGGTGGGTCTTGGTGTGGGCGCTGTCGTAGGAATGTGGGTTGACCTTCAGGGGGAGCTGCTGAGCCAGCTGGCTGTTCAGCTGGTCCTCGTTGTGTCTGACGGGCAGCTCCGAAAACTCTTCTGCATCCTGTGAGACAGAAATCAAGAGTGAAACAGGAATTCTAAGGCATGTTGTGTTCAGATCTTTTTAATCCAAGCATCTACACTTCAACAGCTGCTTTTACCTCCCTGCTCTTCTGGTTTTTTAAACTGACTGTTCCACTACCCCACAAAGACCATTAATCATTATCAAATGGTATTGTTATACCTTTTAAGATGTAAACAATGTCTCAAACTATGGTTTACTGAATAACTGCAGTGAATATACAAAGAATAGACCCTGAAAATGTTTTCCAAAATGAACATGGTGGTCGATTTGTGGGTGTGTACTATCTCCCTGTACCTTCATCTCTATGGCGGACATTTTTGACTGGGAACACCATAAGTGTTACAAAGTTCACTAAACCACTCAAAATTCAATGAAAGTGGTGATCAGCAGTTGTATATGTGTAATGCCTACTGTGGAGGATATCATAAGGCGTTGAGTCAATCAAATGTAAAACAGAATATCTATGATTGATGAAAGTATTAAATCGGTTAGATTTCACCCGAACACGACAGGAGGGTTCAACTACCTGATGATGAAACATCCAGTTCACTTGTACTGCTTCAAGAGTTGGCACAATATTTTGAATTCTTCAAATTCTTTGATGTAAATGTCTGGAAACGCTGCACATTGATGACAGAGACACAATGAAACCCTGATGGTCACTGCAAGTCAATTGACGCCAATAGTCCATCAACTTCCTCTTTGTACTAAGGATGCGTGTTGCACCCTGTTTGTGCTTCCCATACAGAGAGATGCACAGACACGCGTGGCTCCTCTCTTCTAATTCACTTCAGTTGGACTTCGCCTAATGTAGTCCCATCAACTGGCTTTGCTGGAGGCGTTTGTCATAGCCTCCCCCAGCAGGGACTGTCAGGACTCCATCCATCACTGACTCAAACCTGTGTTTCAAAAGCTAGGACCTGAAAAAAGACCTGCGCAGTGTGGGGGCTGGGACGAGGAATTGGAATAGGAATCATCTTAGAATAATTGATCTCTCAGTGTTGTTTTGCCTGGTATGGAAGTTCTGGAGAGACTATAGATCTTCAAGCGGGCTTCATAAGCAACAAACACCCCACACCCTATGATAGTAGCTTTCACAGAGACAGAGGAGGGAGAGAGTGATGAGGAGGAGCTTTAAAGAACAGAGAGGTGGATGCACAAAAACCTAAATACAAATTCCCCAAAACTTAAATAGACACATATATTACATACTAACGTCGTTTCCTGTCATTGACTCCTTAGACAGTGGGTCCCCTAATTTCTCAGAAATGCTACAGTTGTATAACTGTACTGGTTTGCTGATTGCATAAATCTTTATAAAGCAAAATGCCAAAGCAATTTGAAGACGTCTCTTTGGAAGGATGGACGGACACAGAGATGTATTGATGTATAGTTAGATTGTTGCAGCTATGTTTAAATGACTTGCATTCAAATGTTAAGGTTTGGAAATGTATTTCAATGTAGAATATTATCTTCATAGTTAAACTCAAGTGAATAATTGTAACTGAAAAAGCGTTTATCTGGTTGATCCAAACCACTTCATTTGGAGGTAAAGTATTGATAATGTCTGTAATAATACCTCAACGCAAAGTCTTAAACGAAGAATGAGAGGTCAAAGTTAAAGAAGTAAGGGGTTTCCATGGCAGTAGTATGGGTGATAATGGCCTGCTCCACCTTTAGTGTGCCTTGTCTTCTTGTAAACAGATGGATTGGATTCACTGTGAGACAAGTTGAATTTTATGAATCAGAGGAGCAGGAAAGAAAAGAAAACAATGACTGTAGCAGAGGGCTCAGAGAGGGGGGGGGGAGGGAGGTGTGGGTGTTGCTCATTAGTGGCCACACTGCAGCAATTAGAGGGAGCTGGAGGAGCATGCCGCTGCTAACACAGGGGGCGTGTGGAGGGAGGGGGTGGTGTCTATTCTTTTGCAGCTTGTTGGGGTGGGGGGGCAGCCAGGTATGGCATACTTTGGTGTATTTCCAACTACATGTGTGCAGAGCAGAGTGACGTTTCTCAGAGTAGCCTCCCCTCCATATGTTAGCATCAGTATTGAAGTGAGCTTCAGCCCCTGAAGACATTCAATGGACCCACAGCTTCATGGTGAACACACAAAACAAGAATACAAGCTTATTTACATCGAAGACACAAGCAATAAACATATTTTGAAAAAGTCTGCTTTCTGTGGCTTCTGTTTACAGGAAGACAGGGCACACTAAAGTCTTTATATTTCTACAACAGGAAATATTAATTGCATAACTATTATTATTTAAATGTCGTTATGACAATCAGCAATGAATGTATCCTACAAAGAACTATAATGTGAGACTGATTTATCTTGTTCCTCTGTGCCATACAGTTCACTTATCACAAGCACACGTTATCCAAAAGCTCAAACCGAATTATGCTAGATTTCTGCTGCATGGTGCATTATTTAAATATTTAATTTTAATTTGATTGGATATTATAAAATATATCTTTCTCCCTCAGAAGTACTCACACGGTAGTACTAAGTGTCAGTATCTTGAAACAAGACAAAATATCACTGCATGTTTACCAACAATTATGGTTTTGCTTAACTTGTTGCTATGACATTTTTTAAATACTAGCCTTAAAATAATTGATCAAGTGAAGAAATGCACTATTTTATTTATTTTATTTAACCTTTATTTAACCAGATAAAAAACATTGAGATAAAATCTCATTTTCAATGCTGACCTGGCCAAGAAGGCAGCAACGTTACACATAACACAAACATATAAAATACAGAGAACATAAAGAAAACAAAAGACGAAAAAGCAGTCACTACATTGTGCACATTAGGACAATAAAAAAAGTACACTACTTGTTACTGCAAGAGCAGCTGGTGGTGAGGACTTCAGACAACTTCAATTTAAAACATGCTATAGAGACAAGTGCCCTCAGTTTTAGGCGTGATTGAAGGTCATTCCAAGACCAAGGACCATAATAAGAAAGACTCCTTTTTCCAGCCTCAGTCCGTACAGCAGGAACCTGGAACCGTATCCAGGCACTGGATCTGAGGTTGTAAGAGTCACAAACTGGGGCAAATCTGACACATATGTAGAGTGGAAGCTTACATAAAATGGCTTTATACATTAATAAAAACCAGTGCTGCATCCTACGCATAGTAAGTGAGGACCATCCAGTTAGGCTATACAGTGTGCAATAAAGTAAACTATAAGTAATACAGACGGATATTCAAAGCAATTAGAAGGCATGAAAAAAAAGTAAGTCATCACCCCACTCAGAGAAAGATGTGAGACCACCATGTCTTGTGTTGACCCCCCCAATCACAAGCAAGAGTGTGGATGACCTCACAGCCGGCTGGCTGAGGTCATTCAGTAAAGGCAGAGGACAAAGTATCACACCCACCCACCAGCAGGAGGAGAGCTAATGAAGCTCAGGCAAAGGTGCTAATTTGATAGGAGGGAGTAATGTGTGTGTGTGTGTGTGTGTGTGTGTGTGTGTGTGTGTGTGTGTGTGTGTGTGTGTGTGTGTGTGTGTGTGTGTGTGTGTGTGTTTCCCTAAGGTATCTTGTATTCGCAAATGGCAAAAAAGAAAACGAATATTAGGGGACAGATCAGAGATTCTCAGTAGAGTTCTAAGGAGTTACAAATGTATTCCTGTTTCACATGTAACTCCCTCTGGAGGGAACACAGGGATTTTAGCCTTTGCAGACCATTTTACATAAACCTATATGACACGATACAGGAAAGGGAAAACCCTTAAAAGCATAATAGGGCCCCTTTAAACCTAGACTTCAGACCAATACACAAATGTGCAAACACACACAATCTTCTGTTGTAGATCTACATGAATCCCATAGGAGTGTAAGAAGGTGAGTGGTGACAGGAGGAGTGTGAGAGTGTGGGACTCACGGTGAGGACGGAGAGCAGCTCGTGGAGGGGCAGCTCGGCTCTCAGCCGCTCTTTGAAGGTGCGGATGGTCTGGTGCTTCAGGTAGTAGTAGGACGAGATGCGACCATAGGTCAGTGGCTCAATGGTCTGATCATCCTGGGGCATTAATGGGATCAACAATTTGAAAAATCAAAAAGGGAATCCTGTGTATATACAATATACGAACAACAAAATAATACAAACCTCTTTTATCTCTAAGCAGTAAGAGCACTCCAGGTCCCGCAGGCTCTTCTCCACCAGGTTGGACAGAAACTTGTTAATGGACTCGTGGCTGACGTCTTCTAGGTTGTAATAACTAAACAACACAGGAAATAGGGTCTTTGCAAAAACATAAATTGACCTGACAGTATGAGAAATACACAAGAAAGCCTGTTTGTCATTCTGAGTATGGTTTCAGCCAAACTGAGATTGTTTTACATGCTTCTTAGTTGCTTTTATCCCCCAATTTCCTTTAGATAGGGTGGCTTAAGAAGAATGAAATACTGTTTGACATATTCAAGATGTGCAGAGTTCAAGTACAGCTGTAGGTTGAACTCCACTGCTTAAATCATAACTGTGCTGACGGTGTTCACATGCACATCACACAGTATCCTGGCTAACAGTTTGCATTTAACACCACACAGTGTTTTAGAAACCTGGAGGAGTGTTTAAGAGGGAGTCACATCACCAATGAACAGCGAACATGTTGACAATTGCAAAACGTATTGATATAGGGGAGTGGATGATAAAGGGATTTAATGTGGATCATGATCAAAAATACTCACAATATGTTGTCGTGAATTTTCATTATTGGGATGATGTAAATATCATAGCATGAGCGACTAGAAAAAGCTGTCTAACTCACTATCATAGGAGAGGAGTGAAAAAAGAGGAAATGTTCACGTAGGAAGGACAGAAGCCACAAACCCACGGTTAAGTTATCATTTTACCACTTCGGGTCTCCCTGGTCCTAAAGTCTATATTTTAAGTGTTTTTGGTTAGATTACCAAAATAAGGTCTGTGGTTAACACAAGCTGAAGAGATTTACACATTTCGTTCTATTGCAGGTCCGCTGCAACTCTGACTACTTTTAAATCCAGGCTGAAGACTTTTCTTTTTGCCGCTGCTTTTAATTGATATATTCATATCTTAAACTGCACTGTAACTTTTATTATCTTTGCTTTTTATCTTTGCTTTTAAATGAGTGTTTTTAAATGTCATTTTATAATATGTTTCTATAATATGTCTTTCATTTTTGTAAAGCACTTTGAATTGCCTTGTGTTGAAAGGTGCTATATAAATAAACTTGCCTTGCCTATGTTAACAAGTGACTAAACAAGACTGCTAGATGTCAACAAGTCAAACATTAGCCACCTTTAGCTTAGCGGTTGTGACACGCAGCCTTGTGACCGTGCTGTAGTTCCTTTATAGCCTAACGTTAGCTTTTTACTTTAAACATCATAAAGTGGTGTTAATATGTGGAGATGATTCTGCTGAACAAAACGTGTAGGTATCTAACACACACTGTAAATGTGTGTTTGAGCTTATCTTTTGCAATATTCCGAAATCCAATGTAAAAATTGCATTATTTTTTGTCGAGGGAGCCCTTGTGATGCTAACTTCTAGGTCGGCCTACAGAAATACGTCATCACTGCACCACACTTCCGCTGTGTTGAACTGACCATAACCCGCTCACCTGCTCCACAATAGAGGCAGGGGATTGCCGACAGTTATCAAATCTACAATATGTGTTACAAATATGTCTCCTTAAAAACAGTGACTGGTCAGTTAGCCTGGAAAGCAATTGTGACTTATATTAGCATATTCCCGCCTAACAAGAACACTAATGATAAACACCTGTAGCATTAATCCTAGCCCTTCTGGTTTTGACTACATCATCAAGATTTTCACATTGCTGTATTTCACAGGTATAATGAATAAAATGCACTGTCTCAGTTTTCCGCCAACCTTAACCAGGAGTTTGAACATTCTGTAGGACAGCAGGTGTCTCTATTTAAGTTATTTAAAAAGGAGTCAGTACAACAAGAAATATTATAAAAAGTGTTTAAAAAATGACATTCTCCACTACTTGAACAATAACACAGAACTGTTCATCCTCAACTGCTGAAGTAACTCAGTCAGTAAAGAAATGTCAGACATGCTGATGCTAAGTAGTCAAATACATAATTGTAATACTGATGATTGCAACTTATTAGGGCCCAATGGAAAACTTAGATAAAATGGTAATTCAAATGTCACGACTGTATTTACACTGTTGCTGGTTAGAATCTGTACATGCTGCAGTGCTGTGCAGGAAAGCCACAGCTGAGAGAGAAAAGGCAGCCCTTGGCAGCAAATGGTTCCCAGGTTAGGCCGTTATTACCTGAAATAAGACAACCAGCAGCAAAATGGGTTCCATGCTCAGCACTGCCAACTAAGAGTTCCCACATGAGGCTCAGCAGAAATGTCATCAAGACATTCTCCATTAGCTCATAATGCCAATAAGTATGCATGATGTGTGCAATTCAAATAAAAGGAAACCAAATCCTTAAGGTAAGTTTGCAGGTGTGAAAAATCCCTGTGTGCATTTGTAATTTGAATATAGAAAATGTTTGAGTTAGAGATCTGTTGACAGAATGTTACTGGTGTTTCCTTTGTTGTTTGAGTGCCAGCTGGTTGCTCTCCAGTGTCAGTCAATGAGAACAACAAGTGGACCTTTGTCATGTGTTGTGGTTCTTGTAATATAGAGCATTGGTATGAGAAGTTAAGATGAAACACAAAGGCTGCTGGATTCACAGAAATGTGTGCTATGTATGCAGCTGATCAAATACAAATATTTAAGAGATTTTAATATTTCTTGAATGCACTGTTAAATATTTGTATAATCTCAGAAAAGTAATAACACCTATGGTAACGTTTTGTATTATGCCAGAATAATCATTACCTCTTAATGAAAACCATAACGAAATGCATTTCTTCTCTAATATACATTATCTAAACCAATGCAATGGTTTATATCGTGCAGTGTGCATGCTGTCATTTCCATCTATCCACCACTGACCGGGGTAATGGTAGCAGCAGGATCATTTAGGTCTCATCCATGTCATCCAATTCCTCCAGAGGGCTGCCCCAACCACCTCCATGGAGTCATTTCAATGTGAGGGAACAGCAGTTCTACGCCAAGCTCCCTTATAATGCCTGAGGCCTGCACCCAATGTCCAAATGGTAAATGGACTGCATGTATCTATCTACTAGTGCTAGCAACCATCTACCTCCTGAGACACAGCCCCCCCGAGTGGGCACGTCCACCTTCCAATGAACATTCACCTCACTCACTTTTTTGTTGTTGTAAACAATCCTATTCTTTTTCAAACCTCATGACCATAGGTGAGGATTGTAAATGTTGGGTAAGCAGTCTTCTTCTTTAAGTGTATATTGCTTCAATGAAATGTATTGTTGTGTTTTTATTCACAGAATCTTTTATAAATATGGGTATACCCCCAGAATGAGGGATTAACACCTATAGATGTGAACATAGTCTCAAAATATGAATCAAAGAACTACGAATAGCCAAAGTGACAACCATTACATCATTGAACAGGTGGAGGGGGAAATGAGATTAAGGTCATTTCACAGTTGCCAGCATTATGCATGCAAATCTTTCAGAAACCACCTACTTCTTATATTACAATAAAACAAATGATATCTCCATGATCCCCATTCCACATCATTGACTGTGCAGGGGGAGCAGGGAGAGTAATCACAGTATCTGGAGGCGCTGATGGTCAGATTTAATGTGTGTTTAATGGTTAGTATTTCTTTCTTTCCCATCGCTCCACATGTTAACAGCACACCGTTCACAGCGCTGAATGTGTTTATTACTGAACACATTTCACAGATCTTTACTGGTGGCAGGGCCTGTCTGATTAAGTCATGGCCATTAGCATCATCACCATTAGGCTCCTGATGGCACAGCGAGTCAGCCTCGGACGTTTACGACACCCATGGGACACTGTGTCTGTGTGTGTGTCTGTGTGTTTGTGTGTGTGTGTTGTGGGAACCAAAGGCTGAAAGCAGTAGTGATGAATTAGCCGTTCAGATACAAACACAGCTGCATGGAGATAATGGATAATTCAGGGCAAAATACCTTATATTATTGGAAATGACACAAGCTGAATTTAAGAGTGCCGGTATATAGCTGAGACAAAATATGTTTGACATACTGGAACCAAATTCAGTTTGGATGTAATAGCCGGCCTGTAGGCCTTACTTTGTGTAAACTACAGGTTAACGATCATTTGTGGACGGGTGGCGCAGTGGTCTGTGCAATGATTATCAGATCAAGGGGGTGAAACCCGCCGTCGCTGCATCTGTAAAGCCGTTGTGTCCTTGGGCAAGACACTTCACCTGAACTTGCTCCTGTGGGTATTGTCACATGTATGTATGATCTGTATGTGTAATGTGTATTTGTAAAGCGCTTTGAGATTCATTGATAAAGCGCTATAATAAATATAAGGATTATTATTATATTATTAATAGCCTTTTATTAAATCAGAATCCAGCTGCAGGCACTGGTGTATAAAGAGAACTGGATACAGCGTTGGAGGCGGGACCTCGTTCATTCCTATGACAGTTGCTCAGTGGCTCTTGAAACCAAAATGACCTGACTCTCCAGAGCAAAAATGCCCTGGTCCTCCCAGGATCCTCTGGCAGTCTTTCACATCCATGCAGACCATAAAGCAGGTGCATTTACATTTGACCAAACGCCGCCTCCCTGCCAATACATAACTGCAGCGTCACAGCCGGTCTTGGCTCAGACAAATGTATGGAGAGGGAATATAACTGTGCAGCAAATAGAAAGGGGTAGACTTGTACAAATATAATACATGTTTGTTATTTCACCTCACAGGGAGACAGTTCAGTTAGGAGAGCTAGAGATGTGATATCAATAGGTCCTGGTCCCACTTTAAAGACCAGGAAGTTGTATTATCAGGTTTGGGGAATAGCAGATTACGAGCTACGAGATTATGTAATCATGCAAAAAATAGTGAGCCCACGTGTATCTGTACTGCTATGTCTTATATTGGCTACTTAGCGTACTTCGTCTTCTTCATCATCCAGCATCCTTGGTATCTGTTGCTCACTGAGTTGATTCTCGCTAAGTAGCCAATATAAGGCTTAGTCATCTTGCCAAATAGTGAGACTGTGTTGATGTATGAAAACTATGTTATAACTGGTTTATAAATGGTTCTTAATGATTAATAAAGTGTTTACAACCTAATTAATAACCTAACTATAAACCCTTTATGAATCCTTTATAAGGGTAGTCTTATTGTAAAGTGGTACCGAAAGATCTAATCAGATTACTGATCACTAGCCAAAAGAATACCAGAAATGCTGACTGAGGTTTTCCTCCAATCCTACAGCAACACTTAATCCTTTGTCATTGTTTTTCTTCTGTATATTGATCTTAAATCCCAGCCTGATCTGAAGCTGAGTGTCAGCTTGCAGACCTGTGTTGGTGCGATCGTACTGCGAGGCCTCGGTCAGGGACTGAATGTAAATGTGGGATGACAGCCGTGCAAATACCAGCAGGCTGGAATGTTCTGGAATGGTGTGTGTCTACACAGCAGATGTTTGACCGAAGAACATGGCACTCCTCTGAGCAGGTTGAGAATGTGCATGTGTGTTTAGTTTTGAAGAGCATGCTCTGCTGCAGGGAGCAGGTTCCCTCACCTGGGGTTCATCACCAGCCGCCTGAAGAAGTAGGTCCAGGTGATGTAGTCCATGGCGTCCTGTTTGGAGGAGATGGTTCCTGCAGCCACCTCCGCATTCAGATGGTCTGACAGCACACTGAGGAGGCTGGGGGGGGTGCACAGTCACACACTGATCACTTACAATCCACAGAGTGAATTATTAACCTGTCAAGATGTAATTTTAACTTTTTTTATACAGAAATACATCTGTATCAGTAATTAGATTCTCTGGTGGATTGATGATAAAGAGCTAATTCTTTGCTAACAATTGAGATTCATCTTTAATTCATTGTTCAAGCCAAATCCCAAAACAATTCTTACATGTGAATTCTTGCTGCCTTTTTCCTGTCTTAATATTGTTTTCATTTCATTTCATTTAATCGTTTATTTGAATAGGGACAATGAACATTAATGAACACTTTAGACAAATAATGCTTCAAGTGTAAATATGCCGGATTTTAGCTTTGAGCTCATTTCCATCCGTAGTCCCTCACATACAACATATAAGAACATGACATTTGTAAACATAGCAAAAAATAAATACATGATATGCAAAAGAGCAAGAGCAGCACACACAAGTATTTACCACATGGCAGTACACTATAGCAGCAACGACATATTAAGTGCAAGAGATGATACAAGAGATGCATAAAGTGCAAGAGGAGATACCCCTGTATTAAAGTGCATTTAGCGGTGATTGCATGTCTGGTTGTTTCTCAACCATTCTTTGAGTTGACCTTTAAAACTATTGAGAGTGGGACAATCCCGTATCTGAGTTGGGAGGCTATTCCACAAAGAGCTGCCTTTAATGGAGAGGACATTTTGTCCAAAAGTGGTCCGTGGACTTCACGGTCTCCTCTGGTTTCTGACCTAGTGCAGCGTCCAGTGTGGATGAATTCCCCTAAGGCGGGGGGGGGGCAGTCCATGTAAACATTTATAAAAAAAAACACATACTTTTAAAAGACTTAAAATGGTCAAAACTTAAGAAATTGTGTTTTTCAAGGATGGTACAGTACGACCAGTTTGTAAAACAGTATTCAATGTGGGATAGAATCATACAGTGGAGGTATGACTTTGCAGCATTGACAGTTAAGAAGGGTCTAATTTGTTTAAAATGTTCTATTTCTGCTCCGTTTAAAAACACATTGGATCCTTCGATTTTGACTGGTCGTTTACTGAACATCATGCATACTGTTTTTTTTACATTTAACTGTAAGCAAATGTTGTTCAGCCAGTGTTGAACCTTGTCCAAAGCATTAGAGAGACAAGATGCGATTATTTCAGTGTTTTTCCCGTGTACAAAGATGACCGCATCATCGGCATACATTTGCACATTCAACTCAGGACATACATTGTCCGCTGATTGGTCCAAATTGACCAATCCACGGACTTCCTCACACACACACTCAGTGCAGGCAGCTCAGCTGATTTCTCCTCCCTGGCTGCAGGCTGATAACAGACAGTTGGGATCGCGGCGAAATTCTCTCTGCAGACCCATTCTCACAGCGTTTATCAACCTTTTTCTTACTCAATATCTCAAGCCACACTTATTGTTTTTACTTCGGATGTGAGTTTGTGTGTGCTCAGGATGAGTTTGGCTGTGTTTCGCTATGTATCCTAAACAAGGAAACAACACCTCCACGGAGCTCAGCGCGATTCACAACGTCCCGACCAATCAGAGCACACTGTGCTCACAAGGAGGGTGGGGGCTGGAGCTATAACGAGCCGTTAAAGGCAGAGAGTGAAATTCAGTGAATACACGTAGTTTACAGAGATGCTGTATGAGAAACCAATGTGAGTTTGGAAAAATGCACAATATAAATCTATTTTAGTAGACCTCAACAATGGAATTATGATCAGTGGAAATGGCCACATGGGCCCTTTAAGGGATATCTCTCCAATAACTGCTGTATAAGGTCCTGTCTGAATGCATGTATGACTGAACTGCAACACCACAATCCCAGAGACATTAGTGTTACCTGGACTCCACAGGGAACGGCTCATAGAGGAACTTCTTGTAGAAATCCTTCTTGATGTCATGGACGAGGATCACAGCTTTGCCCTGGTCATCAAACTGAGGCCGACCTGCTCGCCCCATCATCTGCAGAACATCTGCACACAGCACACAACCATCACATGTTCCACTGTTCTTTAAATCAGCTGCAAGAGAAGTAATACCAGTTCTCGTTGTTGTCACTTTTCCAGGGCTTGAAATCCTCCAAGAGGTAAGGTTTTGAACATGTGACTCAGTCTGTTTTAAATGTGATTATTTAAATGAATGTATGGCTGTTGAATAAAATGAATTAAATGGCGAGGTGAGACAATTGTTATGTTGGCAAAAAAAGGGAATTATCCCTTTAAGTTCCATGAATGGATACTTCACTACATTGTAATCATTTTGAACATTCTTTATTTAACGGTAGATTAAAACAAACTGTAGATGCCAATGAGAGAATGTCTAGCTATACCTGTAATGGGGTAGTCCACGTAGCGCCTGGTTTTGCCATCGTAGTATTCCGTTCCCTTGACGACCACCAGGTGAGCAGGGAAGTTCACCCCCCAGGCCAGAGTGCTGGTGGCTATCAGAACCTGAGAGAAGGGGAGAAATGATACAACATAGACACATTCACTTAATTACATGAACAATATACAAGAAATTAAACTCATACAGAATGTTTAAAAAAACTAGTGTAAAATAAGTAACATCAAGTTTGAGGAAAACGTTGGAATATGGGTAAAATGGGAATGTATATGCAGTTGCATCTATAATAGCTAAATACTAATCAAATCACTCTGCTCTAGTGTGTAAGTAACAGTCTGCATAAGGCCTCATCATCCCCCCTGTCTAGGATCATGCAAATCTTTTCTAACATTACACATTTCTTAACGTCAATAGGTATGTGCAGCACTGATGGGGGTGTGTGTGCAGCACTGATGGAGGTGTGTGTACAGTGGTGATGGAGGTGTGTGTACAGCACTGATGGGGGTGTGTGTACAGCAGTGATGGAGGTGTGTGTACAGTAGTGATGGAGGTGTGTGTACAGTAGTGATGGGGGCATGTGTACAGTGGTGATGGAGGTGTGTGTACAGTAGTGATGGGGGTGTGTGTACAGCAGTGATGGAGGTGTGTGTACAGTAGTGATGGGGGTGTGTGTACAGCAGTGATGGAGGTGTGTGTACAGTAGTGATGGAGGTGTGTGTACAGCACTGATGGGGGTGTGTGTACAGCAGTGATGGAGGTGTGTGTACAGTAGTGATGGGGGCATGTGTACAGTGGTGATGGAGGTGTGTGTACAGCAGTGATGGGGGTGTGTGTACAGCGGTGATGGAGGTGTGTGTACAGCAGTGATGGGGGTGTGTGTACAGCAGTGATGGGGGTGTGTGTACAGTGGTGATGGAGGTGTGTGTACAGCAGTGATGGGGTTGTGTATACAGCAGTGATGGGGTTGTGTATACAGTGGTGATGGAGGTGTGTGTACAGCAGTGATGGGGTTGTGTATACAGTGGGAGGCCTACCTGGATCTTGCAGTTGACGAACAGCTCCTCCACGGTCTTCCTGTCCCTCTCGTGCAGGCCTGCATGATGCATGCCGATCCCGAAGGCCAGCGTCAGCTTCAGGTTGGAATCCCTCACTGTGGCAATGATCGCCTCAATCTACACACAACGAGCACACACTTTGATTCAACAGACAGACACACAGCCAATGAGAAACTGACTGAGAGAAGGTGTCATGTACAGTGACACAGGGACAGGGCTGAGGGAAAGTCCAGGTCTGAAAAGTGAAGCAACGTGGAAGTCTGGTTGTATATAAGTCTATGAGAAAAGGACCCTGCCCCTCACTTGATTAATCAATCAATATCTTGGTTTCTTCTTTTCTAAGGTCAGATTGTTCTGTTGTCTTACATAATACACTTCAGTAAAAAACATCTTATTGATATTTAGTTTCCCTTGTAATCCAAAAGTTACTGAAAGTAAACAGGTTACATTTATTTTATATTTTGATACTCAGATTAAGTTCCTTGAATTTGTTACAGGTAGCTAGTATTTGTAACACAATACATCTTTAAAGCCTCCCAACCCTGGATATGAGAGTAAGAAAATGGAAGAGTAGAGATATTCCCAGAGGAAAAGAGCTGGAGTTCGTAGCAGAGGAAGAAAGAGCTGTCAGGTCGGGGGGGTTCGAGGCAGTGGGTGACCCCCGCGGAGAGTTAAGCAGCTCTGTCCAGAGGCCTGTCAGTCAAGCAGCAGGGCGCAGAGCTGCTACACGGCCCAGCGCAGAGAAGCAGCGGGCGGCAGCATGTGTCAGCGGAACACACACAGAGGCCGGGGACGCTGCGCGCACACACGCGCACTTGAGCCTGAACACAGCTCAGTGATGCTCTGCCATGTTGTTTGTTTATGGAAATCACAGTATTCCTGACTCAAAAATGCTGATTATATATTCTAAGTCTCCGTGAAGCACATCCTCTTGAAACTAACTTAAACTAAATGTAGACGCATTAAACAGTGGTTAACATACACTTTAAGATCTATGTGTTTTTCAGGGAAAATGGTCACCATCAATATGCTGCAACTTTTTCATCATGTATACTTTCAGCTCAATAAAGCTTCTTAAAGATGTTCATTATACCTCATAAAACAAAGCATCAGTTTGCCAATATCTGTCCAATATTTGATGTGCAAAGTTAACATTTTGGCATAACATGTGGTTAACCTGTCTTCATGGTGAAGTCAGAGCAAAGGTCATGTGGTTAACACAATCAAAATAAATCAGAAGTATTGTTGACCAAAATATTTGCCAAAAAGATAAGCCAACCAAGCACATTGCTTTTTCCTCTCTCCGTCATCAGCCTTTTCAACTTGCCTTCAGAATAGCTCCTTGCTACACATTTATGATACTAACTATGTTTTGCTTAGCAGAAAAATCTCTTAACACCACGTTTTTTATGAATAAAGCATAAGTGGAGGTAAGACGCTTAAGTGAAATATTAAGCTAAACAAACAACATGACAGTCACATGAATTCACATCACCAGCACAAAGCCAACTTGTGTTCGGCATCAATAATTATTAGTAATCTCTTTTAGCAACTTGTTCGCAACCACTTTTTTAAAGACACTCCAGACCAGACGATCACCAGATTGTATTTACTGAATAATTTTACATCGAAGAAAAAAAGGTTACGTTATTTGGGTTAACCACGGATCTTGTTTCAGGTGTCAAACCAAAAAAAAGTGCTTCAAATGCTTTTTAGATAGAGGAGGCAAATCCTGTAGAACTTTACTACGCACTTTAACAAACCCATGTGACTGTAAAGCCAGTCCATAGTTCTCTCACGAGAGGTTCATACGGTCCACGCTCCATCACGCCTGCATATCCCAGTGTTGTAATAATAATAGCAAACTTTTCAAATGTGAACCCAGAGGGGCTATTTGCTCCAATCTTGAACTGATCCCAAGGTATGCACAGACAATATAATGGAGGATGACACAGGCTTTTCCGGCACAAGTTGGGTTGAATTCCATCTGTGATTACACTTAAACCACCACTTACACAGAGAAACCGAGCGTCAGCACAATTCAGTAAAGGGGGGGCAATGGAGTGCTTCCACAGAAATAAAGACACATTAGAAATGAAGGGAATGCATGAGACGGACACATGTGGTTATATTTGCACATATTTTCTGATTGTATCAGTTGTCTACGTCCCCAGATCTGATGTTGTTTACCAGAGCTTAAACTTGCCTACATGTGTAAATGTGTCAGAATAAAAACAGTAAATGTTAATGTATTTTCTAAGCTCCTTTAGTTAAGAATGGTAAACATTCTCTCTAACAGTTTGTTTTCTAAATATCAGAAATGCTTTCTTGTTTCAAGATATATTGAAGAATGAATGGATGCCTGCTGGAATCTACCTCCTTATGTTTCAGTATGCTATCGTGCACCTCACCTTACACACACTGACCCTCTTCATGGATGATGACGGTTCAAATCTACTCTGTTCCATTTCATTTGCATAACTACAGTGATTGTGTGTTGGACCCTGTCTCGTACAGTCACCCTGACACAGACTGGATGTGCTGCTGTGAGAGAGTGAGCGTACCTCTCTCTCGTCCTGGTGCAGCCACTGTTTGGGGTTGTCCTCTGTGGCCAGGTAGGCGATCAGGTCCAGGGCGGTCAGTCGGGTTTGCCGTCGGGAGGAGACAAAGATCAGCACTGGTTTGGCTGGGGAGTGGCTGCGTATCGCTGCAAAGACACAAGTTTCAATGTGCATTATTACTTTTCACTGCTTCAGAAACTGTTTTATATTATTGTGTGTGCTTTGAAGTGTTTCCAACAATCTGGGTGAGGATAAGACATTTTCCTTCTTTCTGTCAACAAAAACCAGTGAAAGACTCTTTGTGACTTCTCTACCCTGTCTGTGGTACTCAGCGCTAGGCCCATTAGTTATTTAGTTTGGCTGAAGGAAAACTGAAGATGGATCAAAATGTGGTATAAATTACTTTTAGAAAATCTGAACAATTGTTTTATTTTTTTAAAGCCAACTTTTTCATAATAACGTTAGCTTAGCAGGAATGATTAAATAGCTCTTTAAATAGATTTAATTAGTACTTTTTGGATCCCAAATTGGAACATTGTTTTGTTAGAGAAGCATGTTACCAAGGCATTTCACATGAGTTAATAATATAAATAAAAATAAACAGTGAATATAAACCTAACAGTGGAAAGACATATCTAAAGATAACTTGTATCGAAGCAGCAGTGACTTTATGTAACTCCAGCTCAATGACAAACCTGACATAAAGCATGTGTGAAGGAGGTGTACATGGAGCTGTACCTTGGAAGGTAGGCTTGTTCATGCTGGCCATGCGAGGGCAGTAGTGTTGCCCCGGGAAACCATGGATGTGAACTTCCAGCGGTACAGGGCGAACAGATGGGCGGAAGTTAAACAAACCCACCTGTTACAGAGAAGAAAGGGAGAGGGGGGGGGGGGGGGGGGGGGGGGGGGAGGAGAAAAAAGGAAAGAAAAGGGAGAAGAGATTTAATGTGAGAAGCTGGCAACATGGAGCCCATCTGGCTGTAATGTAAACTGTCTGTCACTGTCACTGAGGCCGGAGCACTGCTGGACCCCGCTGCGCTGGATAACCCTTCATGTGTGTGTTCACTGTGTGATCAGAAGGCAGTGTGTGAACACAACTCAAAGAGTGGTACAGGATGTTGTCAGAGTAAGATGCATTATTTGGTGTGTTTACAGAGGTGCAGCGTATTTTTGTAAGAGGAAGTTAGCATCACAAAGGCTCCCTCGACAAAAAGCTAATGGGATTTCTCCATTGGATTTAGGATTATTACAGAAAATAAGCTCTGTGGAAAATGCACATTTATGATACACACACATTTTCTTCAGCCAGATAAACTCCATATATAAACACCACTTTTATAATAATTGAAGAATCAATGCAAACACCAGAAAAATAAATAGCTATAGTTTAAACAACTTAGCTAACTGTGATCGCTACATGAAGGTCACATGACTTCAAGTCACCTCCACTAAGCTAAGAGCAGGGAAATACATTTAGTTTAGCAGGACATCTCCACATATTAACACCAGAAATAAAATGCTAACGTAGGCCTTAGACAAACTACATCACGGCTGTGCGTCACCAACGCTAAGCTAAATACGGCTAATCATCGACGTGATTGTGTTTAGTAATACCCCCGTAATGTAGTATCTCCTAAGATTGTGTTAACCACACCTTATTTTGGGTTCAAAAACCCATTGACTGCCAGAAGAAGAGAAGTGCTAAACTGCTAACTCATTTTCAAATTCAGGACTCATTCCTGCACCACTCTATAGTGTTGGGGGCAGCTGATAATGATTTGGGCCCAGCAGCAGCCAGCAACCAACCTGCTTCACTAACAGTCTCCACAGCTCTGTCAACAGAGACAAGGTTTGGAAACGTGTCTTTGATGATGCATTTTTACATTACATGTTACTTGTTAGATGCTTTTATCCAAAGCGACTTACATACTCAGTACTGTGGACAAACCCCACAGGAGCAATTTGGGGTGAAGTGTCTCAGGGACACAACGACATGCTGACTGCAGTGGGGTTTGAACCTGTGACCCTCTGATCCGAACACCAACGCACAACCCACTGCACCACACGCCTCCCCATTATTATGATTGATCCCTACAGGGTATATGATATATTGACCAGTTGTGACTTTGTAATCGTAAGAATAATGAGTAAAAATGTTAGGATGATAGCAGCGTTTTGTGAGATACATGTGTCTGACACATTGTACAGTATCAAATATAAACTTAAAAAATAAAACATAGAAACGCTCTCATAATGTATGGTATCCAAAACATGCGGTATGTTAACATGGACTTGAATTGACATGTATCCATCATGTCAAGCAGACCGGTATGTCCAACAGACATTCTGAGGACATCTTACCTTAAAAATAATAATAAAAAACAGTTTTTACATTTATTCTGACTACTACTGTCTTTATCATTTTGAATAGTAATTTCTTAAAATAACTTGGACAAAAAGGAAAATATAGTATGCTTCTATCTTAAAGGTAGGGTAGGTAATTTATTTCAGAAACACTTTTTGTTATATTCCATGGAATGCTCTTAACATCCCGATAGCAATGAATATATTAAATGCTTTGACAATAAATCCATAAAAAAATGTCATCTGTGGAAGCCGTGGCGCTGTAAAAAGCACGACCAATCATCTGAGCCGGCCCGGCTAAAATAACTGGATGGCCTACCTGCCTGTCAGCCTTCCATCTCGTGCACAAACTTATCTCGTGCCCTCATTGGTCATGTGCACGTTCATGTGTGTTGGAGGAGGGGCTCTGTAAGGAAGTCTGAAGGAAGGGGCAGATTTTTTCCAGTTGTTTATTTTCAAATTCTAGCGCACTCAAGCTGGTTTCTCCATTCTTACCTACCCTACCTTTAAGATACTAGCCAAAGCAAAGATAAAAGGTGCCAACACAACCCAAGAGGAAGCAGCATGGGAAACTTCAGTATGGAATCATATCAGTGTCATCCTTTCAATAAGTCTTCTCTGTATCATGTGGATGTTCATCCAGTCATTCCTGATGATTAGAACTTAAGCATGTCATCAGACGCAGCCTGCAGGAGATTATAGAGATCAACTATCAACCAAAAGCATATTTTTATCCTAATTGCTGTTATTATATAAAGTCACTCAGATATGAAGAGGCAGGAAACAAATGGACCATAACAATACAGCGCTGCACACACACTGTGGTTTCTGCTGGCCAGTACACAGCCATCTCACTATTCCTCAGCTTATGAACATGATCCCCCCATCTAACCAAAGATCAATGTGTGTGTGTGCGTGTGTGTGTGTGTGTGTGTGAGATTGTGTGTGTGTGAGTGTGAGTGTGAGTGTGAGTGTGTCTGACCTGTCCGATGCCCAGCCAGTCGGCCAGGTCTCGAGCGTTGGCCAGAGCCGTGGACAGACCCACCACTCGGACTCTCTTAGACGTGTGAGAGGAGATGAAGTTGGTCCTGGACACAATCACCTCCAACACTGGACCTCTGTCCTCCCCTGCAAACACACACAATGGTAAAGTCAGAGTGTACATTAAAGACGTGTTGGTACCGTCCCTTACACTGGAAGGGGTTTTCTGGTCTGGACGCCTTCTGGAAATATGTTGTGTAAACACTGCTAACTCAGGCATAATAGTTGCAGTGGTTAGTTCTGGGTTTCTCTGTGTGCAGTTTGTTTCCTCCGGCCTCCTCACACAGCCCAAAGACAGGTTAGGTTAACTAGGTGAACTGGTGACTCTTAGAGAGGTCATATTTTCTCTATTAGAATTATATTGGAACCAATAGAATAACTGAATCTCTTCTTCTCTCCTTTCCTCGTCTCTTTCCCCTCATCTATTATAAATATATAATAAATATTCACCTTCACAGTTAAACAACTTAATATTATTAAGTATTTACCACAAAGTAAAATAAATAATATGATGAAATAAAACTAATTCCAATTAGCTGTATCTGTTTACTGCAGGCTCTGTCAAAGTCACGTTTTCCCTGCAGCAGTTGTTTTTGGCCCAATTAAACATTCCATAAACAAAATGAAAGAATTTGGCTAAATGAAAGGCCATAAGCTCTAACCTTCCAAAGAGCTCCCTTCAAAAAACGATTTTACATTTTAAACAGAGCTTGGATGGGATTGAGCTGTTTGACCTACAGAACAGATTCCTCCTCCCTCTTACCCAGCAGGTGGATCTCATCGATGATGAGGATGGCCACTTTCTGAACATAGCTTCTGTTCTGCCAGCTCCTGCTCACTCCGTCCCATTTCTCCGGAGTGGTGACGATGAGGTCAGCCTGTGATATAGCTCTCATGTCGGGGGTCACGTCCCCTGTCAGCTCCACCACTCTACACACACATAAGATCAGGAAACACATGAGCCTGCTCTTTTCTCACATTATTACATTACCAAGTGATTTATTCAGTTGTATCCAACAATGCAATCTACACACAAGACTCTTCATGACTTCTTAAGCTGTACGATGTCACTTCATGCAGCTGTAATGTAAAATCCTCATGACTACGTAAATGCATTCATTCAAGATTCAATTCAAGATTCAAAGGTTTTAATGTCATATGCACATAAGCTACAGTGTAGACATGGCAATGAAATGTTATGACCCGAGCTCCTCCAACATGCAACATAATTATATAATAAAATACAAAAATAACATCACTCACTTCTTCCCCAGTTGCTCCTCAATCCTGACCTTCCAGTCCTCGATCCTCTCTCTGACCAGGGCCTTCATGGGGGCGATGTACACCACCTGACCACACAGAGATAATAAACAGTCATTCAATGGAAACACAGGTAGGTTTTCTCTGGTTGGAGGAATATAAAAAACAACAATACCAACAACACATTTGCATGTTGGAGCATCTCCAAGCAGCAGTCCCTGTGGAGGCAACAGTGAACAAAGTGCTGCCTTAACATGACACCAACCTGTGCTTTTTGAAAGGTTTTCTAATTAATGCAAACAATAAAGAACGTGTTAATATCGAGGTCAGGAAAATCCACGTCAGATACAACTCCTAGGTTGGCCAAATACACAAACAGTTATTTTCTGTGTGAAAAAATATAAATTCAATCACTGCACAGAGTAGATGTTAAAGCTGCCATTGGTTTTTTACCTCAAGTAAGACTATTGAGCCAAAAAGCGTGTCCCTGTTTAGCTTCGGGAGCAATGCACATCCATGAGGTATGTAGGAGATGTATGTAAAAAATGTGGTTACAAATATTGAGATTACTCATACAGAAATGAATGTCCTCATCACTGTATGTTACAGACAGTACCATACACCCACTACATGAAAACACTGATCATTTGCAATGTCAATTCCTAACAGGACACAACCGATCATGATCACCTACTGTATAGTGCTCCATAGCCTGTGGATCTCCATGGAGATTTGTCTTCATATTTAGTTTACACATTTTTGTTAAGGATTTAATAGATTTTAGTCTTGTGTGCTGCACTTCTCAGTTCTTATGTAAAGAGTTTCAATGCTCAACATAAAAGAAAGACAGCAACAAGTCCCCCCTCCCTCACAGGAAAGGCCCTTTAATGTAACCATGAAGCATACAGAGCCGGTCAGACCTTAGCGCCGGGATACTGGCTGAAGACCCTGAACATGGCCATCTCTGCGGCGATGGTCTTCCCGGAGCCCGTTGGCGCCCCCAGCAGGACGTTGGTGTCGGTGTGGTACAGCGTGTGGAAGATCTGCGTCTGGATGGGGTTGAAGTGAGTGAACTTGAACAGGCTCTCAAACTCCGGGTTACCCAGAGCCGTCACCGGGAGAGGCTGCAGGTCCAGCAGCTCTGAGGGGGGGGAGAAGGTCAATCAGGGGTTATTTCTACGTCTTTCATGTTTATTACAGCCAATAGTGGGGTACATCTGAAAACTCTAAAGTAGAAATGTTTCGAATTGAATGTTTGGAAAAATATACATTTATTCACATTAAAATAAGGATTAAAACTAAAACAGTGAGTCTCTATTTCAGAGGTATAAAAGCCAGGGATCAGATGTATCATAATATTTTCAGGAAAAAACAAAGCCCCTTACTTTACATGATGTTTCTACCCAAGCATGATAAAACAACATGCCAGCTATGACAGATATGTGATTTGACAGCCTCAATATGAGACAGTGTTGTACATCAGGAGCAGGACACATATTGCTCTGGAGCGGTTCAAGTATCAGCGGCTCAGAGAATGTGAATGTTTGCAATATTGTTTATCGCTTTCGTGATAGGAAATAAAACTGTCATGGTAAATATGTAACCACGAGAACAAACTGTTGATGAAGTGCCAGCCACTCCAGATCTAATTAAAATAAAGAAAATAGGTTCATAACAATAACAACTTTTTAGCCATTGTTTATCTCTAACAGTCGGTTTGCTGCTGAGCCGGGTGTGAACATTGGCTTTATCAGAGAATAAAAACAGCTGCGGCGAAGAGACAGGGTCGGGTGATGATGCTGCACTCAAGTCTTATCAGATAGATGGTTGATATAGACATTCTTTTCTTTTTTCTTAAGTGCAAGAGATCCTGTCATTTCTGATCAAGCTGTCAAACTTAGCAGTTAGGTTTTAAATACTCTAATTTCCCCTCCTCGACTCCTCGGTCCTCCGGTAGTGACCCGGAAATGGATTTCAGCGCGCCATGTTGAAGGACATCTCATTTCTCTAAATGCACATCGAGGACCGAGGATCGAGGATCGAGCATCGAGGAGGCTCTCTGGAGGAGCTCTAACCGAGGAGACACTGATGGGTCCTCCACGGCTCCTGCACGGATGTATTTCCGGCAACAGTGATGTTTAAAAGAGGCGTGACACACGGCCGGACTGATCTCAGCCAATCACAGCTCTGCATGCATCCCCTGGATATTATTTTATTAACTGCTTTCATCGCGACGCGATGTTTTCAGTGAGAACAGCTGTGAGGTCCGTGCAGAAAGCAGAGCAGTGTGTAAAATATATATCACTTAGTATAACAGGCCTACTCTCTTTATTTGCTGTAGTTTAGTAGATATCTACAAACAAAGAGTCGATATTTTTCTAGGACCATTTAGTGCTTCACATAATAAAATACACAACGGCTGTAGCCTGATTATGCTTTAGGAGCTGTAGGTGTGTGTGGTACAGTGTGTAGGTGTGTGTGGTACAGTGTGTAGGTGTGTGTTGTACAGTGTGTAGGTGTGTGTGGTACAGTGTGTAGGTGTGTGTTGTACAGTGTGTAGGTGTGTGTGGTACAGTGTGTAGGTGTGTGTGGTACAGTGTGTAGGTGTGTGTGGTACAGTGTGTAGGTGTGTGTGGTACAGTGTGTAGGTGTGTGTGGTACAGTGTGTAGGTGTGTGTGGTACAGTGTGTAGGTGTGTGTGGTACAGTGTGTAGGTGCGTGTGGTACAGTGTGTAGGTGTGTGTGGTACAGTGTGTAGGTGCGTGTGGTACAGTATGTAGGTGTGTGTTGTACAGTGTGTAGGTGTGTGTGGTACAGTGTGTAGGTGTGTGTGGTACAGTGTGTAGGTGCGTGTGGTACAGTGTGTAGGTGTGTGTGGTACAGTGTGTAGGTGTGTGTTGTACAGTGTGTAGGTGTGTGTGGTACAGTGTGTAGGTGTGTGTTGTACAGTGTGTAGGTGTGTGTGGTACAGTGTGTAGGTGCGTGTGGTACAGTGTGTAGGTGTGTGTGGTACAGTGTGTAGGTGTGTGTGGTACAGTGTGTAGGTGCGTGTGGTACAGTGTGTAGGTGTGTGTGGTACAGTGTGTAGGTGTGTGTGGTACAGTGTGTAGGTGCGTGTTGTACAGTGTGTAGGTGTTTGTTGTACAGTGTGTAGGTGTGTGGTACAGTGTGTAGGTGCGTGTTGTACAGTGTGTAGGTGTGTGTGGTACAGTGTGTAGGTGTGTGGTACAGTGTGTAGGTGCGTGTTGTACAGTGTGTAGGTGTGTGTGGTACAGTGTGTAGGTGCGTGTTGTACAGTGTGTAGGTGTGTGTGGTACAGTGTGTAGGTGCGTGTGGTACAGTGTGTAGGTGTGTGGTACAGTGTGTAGGTGTGTGTGGTACAGTGTGTAGGTGCGTGTTGTACAGTGTGTAGGTGTGTGGTACAGTGTGTAGGTGTGTGTGGTACAGTGTGTAGGTGCGTGTTGTACAGTGTGTAGGTGCGTGTTGTACAGTGTGTAGGTGTGTGTGGTACAGTGTGTAGGTGTGTGTGGTACAGTGTGTAGGTGTGTGTTGTACAGTGTGTAGGTGTGTGTGGTACAGTGTGTAGGTGTGTGTGGTACAGTGTGTAGGCATGTGTGTGTTGTACAGTGTGTAGGTGCGTGTTGTACAGTGTGTAGGTGTGTGTGTGGTACAGTGTGTAGGTGTGTGTGTGGTACAGTGTGTAGGTGCGTGTTGTACAGTGCGTAGATGCGGCGGACAGACAGGTCTCAGTTGGTTTGGTGTCCTATGCTTACTTTTAATACTTGTAAATAATACTTTTGGCCCGTAATTTCATTTCCTCATTGTAGCGACCAGAGAGGGGGGGGGGGGGGGGGGGGGGGATATATCCAGTCTCTGATTGTGTTACGTTATTATGAGAGTGCAGTTCTGTCCATCAGACAGAGGGCTGCTGTGCCTCCTGTCATCATTAATGGACGTCTCTTTAAAATGACCGCTCAGAGGAGAGGAGTTCTCATTTCTCTAACCGCCTGCTGCTTCCACTCCTCACTCCTCGGTTCCCCTCCTCGACTCCTCCGCTCGCATCTCCTGTGGGCGGGACTAAGTCTCCAGGATAGGAGTCGAGGAGGGGAGTCGAGGAGGGGAAATTAGAGTATTGAGAAGCCTTCACTGTGTCTGACACTCCACAGCTCTGATTGGTTGCTTTCCTTTGGGGGCGTGCTGGATTCTTTCATGATGAGCACTGAGGGGGGGGGCAGGAGGAACCAGATTTATTTCAGAGTTCTGATTCTGAATATTCCAGCAAACATGATCAAAACGGAACCTTTAATGACAGACTTCGGCTGACATGAGGTATCCATGTTTGTTGGTTTTTCCAGGCACTACCATAGTGGTTTTCACAAGAATCTTCAAGGGAAAAACTGATAATCACTATAACTTATATTATTTAATACATTTGTCATAGTTCTGTTTCTCAGAGCTTCTTCTTTCATATAAGTCATTCAAACCATTTCACCTATTGAAACACTGATAAGTGTTGCTTTTCTCTTCCGTTTCCTCTACCAACAACAACAGTAATGAAATATAAAAATAAGAGGTGTCAATCAAACAAAAATGTAATTAATCACACAAATATTCTCTGATTCATCATGATTAATCAAAGTTTAAAATACTAGTGTTTTTGTATTTTTTGGAGGTAGATAAAAAAAAATACACACTTGTTTTATACTTAATTATTACATGTCAGTTTGGTTTTGATGATCTCTGAATTATTGGCATTTATTCTGACAATTCACCGACACTTCTGCTTACACTTGCTTGTAAACGTTAGTATCCCAAATAAAAACCCCTTTCCTGGTCCCTGTAGTGCCTCCATGACCCTCTGCTAAACCCTCAGTGCTTTTCATCAGTAATCCATCATATATCTGCTGCTTGAGTTTGTGAATTGAAGCCAAGATCTCAAAATCTCTCATGTGAAATTGTTCAATAAATATGGCAAATTGAGTCTTTTTTGTAAGAGCCTGTTCAACTGAAAGACTGGAGAAACATTAAGCTCCTGCAGCCTGTGATATGATCTCTTCTGTGCTCTTGGATTCTTTCTGATATGGCTGTAGTTATGTCTGAGGGGGAATGTGGTCAGAAATAATGAATGCTTCCTTTCTTACAGTCTGAGGAGTGAATGAGTGGAGTACAGGAGGATTCGATGCTTTCTTCTCCGCTCCACATGGAGTTGTGATGTCAGATAATCCATTATGTGGTGGAGAGCCGCTGATTTAAGCTCACTGTGAATTATAGCTGCTGTTTTTACACAAACTATCCTCTGACTTGTGCCAGTGCTAGACTTTATAAAAAGCTTCGGTTTCTTTCAATATATAAAAGATGGCTCATCCATCAGTATATGAAAAAGCCTTTTTGTTATCCGTGCTAGTTGAATCAAACAATTTATGAATGATTTATACTATAGTCATGCGACAAAGAAGTCTGTTACACATCTGTCTTATCGCTATTAATAATCAGCTATCACATCTGACCCTGCTGCAGCAGGAAGAAGGCTAACAGCCACTGCCATCTATTCTGCTGATGTTCAGGTGTATATCAGTATGTAGTGTCTCTACTTTAAAGAGTCCTCTCCTGCTGATGTTCAGGTGTATATCAGTATGTAGTGTCTCTACTTTAAAGAGTCCTCTCCTGCTGATGTTCAGGTGTATATCAGTATGTAGTGTCTCTACTTTAAAGAGTCCTCTCCTGCTGATGTTCAGGTGTATATCAGTATGTAGTGTCTCTACTTTAAAGAGTCCTCTCCTGCTGATGTTCAGGTGTATATCAGTATGTAGTGTCTCTACTTTAAAGAGTCCTCTCCTGCTGATGTTCAGGTGTATATCAGTATGTAGTGTCTCTACTTTAAAGAGTCCTCTCCTGATGATGTTCAGGTGTATATCAGTATGTAGTGTCTCTACTTTAAAGAGTCCTCTCCTGCTGATGTTCAGGTGTATATCAGTATGTAGTGTCTCTACTTTAAAGAGTCCTCTCCTGCTGATGTTCAGGTGTATATCAGTATGTAGTGTCTCTACTTTAAAGAGTCCTCTCCTGCTGATGTTCAGGTGTATATCAGTATGTAGTGTCTCTACTTTAAAGAGTCCTCTCCTGCTGATGTTCAGGTGTATATCAGTATGTAGTGTCTCTACTTTAAAGAGTCCTCTCCTGATGATGTTCAGGTGTATATCAGTATGTAGTGTCTCTACTTTAAAGAGTCCTCTCCTGCTGATGTTCAGGTGTATATCAGTATGTAGTGTCTCTACTTTAAAGAGTCCTCTCCTGCTGATGTTCAGGTGTATATCAGTATGTAGTGTCTCTACTTTAAAGAGTCCTCTCCTGCTGATGTTCAGGTGTATATCAGTATGTAGTGTCTCTACTTTAAAGAGTCCTCTCCTGCTGATGTTCAGGTGTATATCAGTATGTAGTGTCTCTACTTTAAAGAGTCCTCTCCTGCTGATGTTCAGGTGTATATCAGTATGTAGTGTCTCTACTTTAAAGAGTCCTCTCCTGCTGATGTTCAGGTGTATATCAGTATGTAGTGTCTCTACTTTAAAGAGTCCTCTCCTGCTGATGTTCAGGTGTATATCAGTATGTAGTGTCTCTACTTTAAAGAGTCCTCTCCTGCTGATGTTCAGGTGTATATCAGTATGTAGTGTCTCTACTTTAAAGAGTCCTCTCCTGCTGATGTTCAGGTGTATATCAGTATGTAGTGTCTCTACTTTAAAGAGTCCTCTCCTGCTGATGTTCAGGTGTATATCAGTATGTAGTGTCTCTACTTTAAAGAGTCCTCTCCTGCTGATGTTCAGGTGTATATCAGTATGTAGTGTCTCTACTTTAAAGAGTCCTCTCCTGCTGATGTTCAGGTGTATATCAGTATGTAGTGTCTCTACTTTAAAGAGTCCTCTCCTGCTGATGTTCAGGTGTATATCAGTATGTAGTGTCTCTACTTTAAAGAGTCCTCTCCTGCTGATGTTCAGGTGTATATCAGTATGTAGTGTCTCTACTGGGACATGTCTCCATGCTTTAATGTTCAAAAAGGTTTTTCTTTTTCTCATACTGCCTGTGCTGCAGCACCTCTTTTCACCCTCTGTCTGAAACCAGAGCCCAGTCTGCTCTGATTGGTTAGCTGGCTGGCTCTGTTGTGATTGGCCAACTACTTTGAGATGCCCCGCATCACGTACAATTTGTTGGACTGCTATTTAACAGAAGCGAGAGTGTTACATAGTGATGCCATGTAGTGATGGGGATGTGGGATCTAATATGCACAATAGGGCCTCTTTAAAGTGGCCGTACAAAGTAAATAATAAGCACACAGGATAAGAAGGAAAAATAGTACAAATCGTACACTGGAATAAAGTACCTTCAAATTAAACTTGACTAATTCCATTTTTGTATTACTATTCTACTACTCCATTACATTTCAAAGGGAAATATTGTAACTCTTAATACACAATATGACAGCTTTTGTTACTAACTTTTACATAAAACCCCTTTAGATCTGTATATACTTTTTTTTATAAATAATAATTGTTTGAGCCATGCTATGAAAGCAGCAGAAAGCATACACATCTTCCGGCGCAGACAGAAAACTCATCTCTTTCGACTCCACTTCGAGCGATAGAATTGCTAACAGAGCACTTATATACTAATAAAGGACTGGCTTATCTAAAGCCAGTTGAGTAGCACTTGAAATGTGTTGGCTCTATGAAACCTGATGTACTTATATGATTCTGGTTTCTTCAAGTTTGTATCTTCTTGGTGGAATGCACTTATTGTAAGTTGCTTTGGATAAAAGCGTCAGCGAAATGCAATGTAATCTATGATCAAATCATCCAATATTACTGATAATGTCATATACAATAACTGATCAATCACAGGAGACATTATACAACTCTATTATATCACTTTTACTTTGATACTTTAATTGCATTTTCCTATAGAACTATTGTACTCTCACATAGTACCTTAAATGCAGGGCTTTTACCTGTAAGTGAGTATTCCAACATTGTGATACTTTCACTGAAGTAATAGAGTGTGTTATTCCCCCCCCCTGACTGAACTACAGTATGCAGTACTGGCTCTGACAGGGGACTGAAGCAACTGTTGTCTAACAGCTGGGAGCCTTCAGCAGAGTTCAGCTCTCACTCACTAAGTATCAGCGCTTTACATTCAAGACAAGTTAAGTCAAACCCCTGTTGTCACATCATAAATGTGTGTGTGTGAGAGAGTGTGTACCAGTGTGTGGGGGGTGTCTCTCGGGTAAGATGAGGTTCTGGAAGTTAATGATGCAGACGGCCTCTGCCCCCAGCCAGCGGTCGGACACCGCCCTGATGTAGTACTGAGAGGGCAGCGGCTCAAAGATAGGGATGGTGAACACGATGTGCTGAGGCTCCTCTGACACCACCTGCACGCGCACGCGCACACGCACACGCACACGCACACGCACACACACACACACACACACACACACACACACACACACACACACACACACACACACACACACACACACACACACACACACACACACACACACACACACACACACATCAGGAAACACTCTTTGAGAAACACAAGGACAATACAAACCAAGTAATACAATGACTGACCTGTTTCTTCTGCAGCAGGATGTGCTCAGAGTGGTATATGTGGTCATTGATGGGGTCCTCCACCCACAACCACCAGGGCTCACCCACTGACCCGTGGACCTGCACCATCCAGCAAAAGAACATTTAATCAGACGTTCTGCTCAGGCAGGTGCAGTGGGTGAAGATAAACAAACAAACTAAATAATGAACACAAAAACACACCAAGCTCTTATGTTTGATGGTGAAGTCAGTGATGGAAGGAGTACTTAGATTATTTACTTAAGTGAAAGTAGCAATACTACAGTGTCAAAATACTCTGTTACAAGTATAAGATCTGCATTCAAAATTGTACTGTATTGTATTGTACTGTAAGAGTATAATAGTACATGCATAATATTATACTTAATTACCAAAAGTTATTATTGTATTATAATTATTGATGCATTCATGTGTTCATAACTTCAGTGTTGCACCTGGAAATGTGCGGAATTATTGTATGATTGATATTTGGTTGATTTATATTTTGTATTTATAATTTAAATGTGCAAAGTAACTAGTCTCTTAATCTGTAAAATAAAGGTAGTGGAGTAAAAAAGTACAACATTTGCCAACAAAATGTAGTCGAGTCAAAGTATGAAGTAGCAAAATGAGACAATACTCAAGTAAAGTACAAGTTCTTAGTTACATCCCACCAATGTATGAAGTACAACAAATCCCTGTAGTCAAAATGTAATATAATTCCCCCTAAGCGCAATTTGAAGTGTATTAAAAGAAGTCTGAATACACATGTCAACCAGCCGCTCTGATCTGTGCCACGAGAAAAGAGCCTGGGGTGAACGCTTCTCAGTTCTGGAGGCTTCCATTTCTCAACGGCTTGCATACTGTTAGTGATTTCTGTGAAAGCTCTACGATGAGTGGGCCGACCTGTGATCCAGTCTCCAGTGTGCCGGCAGAGAGAGGATTCACTCTGCACAACAGAATCTAAACCAGTCGGCGGCAGCACACCTATATTTAAATATAATGAGCCAGACAAGTCTATAAGAATTTTTGTTTGTTTATATTCTGTTTTATGGTATCTGAGAATATGCGGGCGAAACTCTTTGAGTTAAGAGAAATGGCGTAGGCATGCGTTATTTTTGTTTATCAATTGTTGGGCTTAATGTACGAGTCCAGCCTACTTAAACATAAATCTTGATGATACATTTTTTTTTAAATGTTGAAGTGAAATGCATCAATCTGGAGCACTTTGAGCACCAAATGAATTTATGGATACAGCTCTCAACACTCAGATGAAAGGGAGCTGTATACTTTTCAATAATCCAAACATCTTTAGAATATGATCACAACCAATAACAAATCATTTAAACTTATTCTTATCTTATGTTACCTAGTTAGCATTCTTTCTTTTTATTTATGCATATTTTACTAATCACTCCCCTTTTAAACTGTTTTTTTTTTTTTTTTTACTGTCCTATAGTACACATTGGAATGATTTCTTACTTTATTTTTTACAACTAGGCTATATTAAATAGATAAAGGTGTGCTCTCTCTAGCTCTCTCTCTCTCTCTCTCTGTCTCGCTCGCTCACAGAGGCTGTGTGCTCCTCCGTGGCGATGACGGCTTGCGTTAAAAAATAATAATAAACATAGGCCTATTTGTAAAGTGGGGGGACACAAACGGGATTTCGAAAAGTGTCACGGTTAAACTCCTTATGAAGTGGTGATGGGAATGAGGCTAGAATGGGCGATCTGTTTAGTATTTGGAGCAAAACACTTCATAGACATGTTTTTTATATATCTGAGACCTATAATATATGCTTAACAATAGTATAATAAGAGACCTTTAAAGTAACACACTGATTTTCAGACTTTAAAACACATTTATTTCAAAATGGTGGGATTTACCTGCTTACCACTCCATTTTGTCACTACCGAAACGATCATGTCAATTACCGAAATGTAACCATATGTTTCGGTAGTGACTGTTTCGGTAGTGACGATTCTGGCTAAGTTTGAGCATAACTAAAGAATGCTAGCAAGTACATGGCTAGCATACACGTTTTTGAAGAGGTTTACACACTTAAAAAACATAATACTTTGCATAAAACCCAGAAAAAGTTTACTTAAAGGGGACCTATCATGCAATATGCACTTTTGTACATCTTTTATACATGAATGTGTCCCCGGTGTTCCAAGGAACTCACCAAGTGTCAGAAAACACAACCCTCTCTCTTTTCCTCCATACCCAAATCTCTAAAAACGGGGCTGCAACAGATCTGATACAGATTGATCCAGATTTGAACATTTCTCTGACGTCAGGACGGAGGAGCTCCGCCTATATGGCCAACTCTCCACCTATCAGGGGAATGAGAGGTTGCCGTGGCATGGTAACAGCATGGTAACATGACGCTCGTAACTCGGCCCCCTCCTTTGCAGGGGGGCGTGGTCAGCTGCAGCGCATGCAAAGACAGGGTGGAGGAGAGCAAAATAGAGCGAAATGAGGCATGGCTAAAATGCATGATCTGTTTGGTATTTTGAAAAAGAAAACGTATAAATATACCTTATATAGGTATGGCCCTACAATATATTATTCAAATATAGCATGATAGGTCCACTTTAATTGAAGATAATATGTGTGCGGTAGTGACAATTTTTAAGGTTACATGCCGATTTTCAGATTTATATCAAAAGTATGGGATATAGCTACTGGCCATTCAGCCATGAGGGACAGGGATTAGAGATGGGTGAGTCCTGATTCATCCGGATCATTAACCCGGATCCTAGTAATGAGCTGGTCGTGACGAGTCTCCCCTCTCCATTAACCCGAGTCCTTGAGTCCTACACCTGGTGACGTACAAATTAAAACTATAAATTGCGTCACTCGCTACTCTCCTTATAACATGTAAAATCACATTACAACGTACCCCAGTCCATCTGCCTAGCCTTTAGCAAGTAGGATAGCTGCCAGAAGTGATCGTTTGGCTCAGGGCACGCGGATCAGTGAAACTTCCTGCAGACTCGTGGGGACTCAGACTCAGAGCCGTAACCGTAGCAGATCCAGAGATCCAGGCAGACTCAACATGTACGAGTCAACAACAGACTCAGATTCGCAAATCCTGACTCACTGAATCAAAGGAACTTCCTTCACTTCCTGCAGACTCGTGGGGACTCAGAGCCGTAACCGTATAGCAGATCCAGAGATCCAGTCTCGTCATGCACGAGCATAGCCGCGGGAACTGGGAAGTCATTTTACGGTGCGGACAAAAGTGGGGAGAGATTTCAAAAACAGTAACATGAAGTTTTTCAAATGTTTTTCAAATGTATCAAATCCTGACTCACTTTGCAAAATATAACAGACTTGTGCGGACTCAGAGCCGTAACCGTATAGCAGCAGATCCAGAGATCCAGCAGACTCGTCGTCATGCAGGAGTCAACAGCAGACTCAGATTCGCCAAATCGCAAAATAACCCTTTTTTTTTGTGATCAACATTTTTTATTAAAGCAAAAGACACTGTGTAGCGGAGGTTAATGTAACGTTAGTTTAATATGCTCGTGAAATGCAACAACTTTTCAGTTTCACCGGTAGGATTTCTACGCTCTTGGTGATGCTGACTCATATGACTCAAATGGCTCGTATGATCCGGATCTCTTCAATGACTGACTCAGAAGACTCAGAGTCCGTAAAAGGATCCGGATTTGCCATCTCTAACAGGGATGCAGTGTCAATGCCTAGTCAAACATGCAGGGGTGTGGCTAAAAACCAGGCTCAGCCATTGGACTAAAACCCCTTGTGTTTCGGTAGTGACATGAAAACTGGGGACATGATTTTTCGAGTATAGTTTTTTTATTAAAAAATGATATAAATCTGTTTGAATGTAATCATAAAGATCTTCTAAATACACCATTGAACAACATTTAAAAAAATGTTTTAAGTGTTATTTACAGAAATTGAAATTTAGATGTCAGGGTTGGGGACAGCTACTTCCCAATAGAAAGTACCCTATAAATCAGGCATGGGCAAACTGCCCGCGGGCCATATACGGCCCGTTGGGCTTTTGAATCCGGCCCGCCGAATATTGGTACAAAATTGTCCAAATTATAGTAAAGACCGCATTCATTTTGCTTTTTTCCTGCAATACCCGGCATTTCAGTTGATCCCACTAGATGGCGCACTCTAGACACAATTTACCTTTGCTGGAGTCTGGTCTATTCTCTCAGCTGGCCCCACTCGGCAACCCGGCAAGATCCAAGAACCAAATACGTCACGCTTACATTGGAGGGGTTCGAGATTAACCTGAGCAATAACAGTTCATGGCGAGTACGGCAAATACAAGTTGTAACAAGCAGTAGGGCTGAGCAAAGTGACTAGAACGCGACCACACACTTATAAAAAACACTTCTATAAAGTCAGGCAACACTAACCAGGCTTAGTGTGATTCTGTTTATTTGACCTTACTTTAATGACCATCCGTTCACTGTTATTGACCATTGTGAAGAGGCAGACGTTTTCCTTTTGTTTTATATTATTGCAGCTATCGGATGGAATCAATACATGGGCTAGAATAAACTCCGGTAGACGAGCAGCACTGCAGCAGGCAGTAATGCAGCTGAACCACATTAATAAACAATGCACCACGGCACTCTGGAGAATGGTACAAGGTTGGAGAAGTAGTTCTTTAATTTAATCTGGCTTCGTATGATTAAAAACTACCCGACGCAGTCCTCTATTGATGTTGTTGTGAGCGGTGTTACGGAGAAAATCAGCGACGTAAAACGCTGTGTGGGTCATAAGAAGGCACGTAAATGTTTACGTCATGACGCAAACGATGACGCAATGACGCAATAATTCACCTTTGAACCCGCATCTGTAACAATGAGTGGACCAAAGAAAAGAAAAGTCAACATTGAGTGCCGAGTGTATAATGAGGAGTGGACAGCTAAATATTTTTTTATCGATCTGCTACTGGCCCGGCCCGTCTGTCAAATTTAAAACTCATAGTGGCCCCCGAGCCAAAAAGTTTGCCCACCCCTGCTATAAATGATGTTTTTGTATATATTAAGCTTATCACTATATAATGTAATGCCTTGTGTTTAAATAGACCATAACATATTCTTAGTAAATATCTATGTCTGAATACTTAATTGTTTTGTTAAATAGTTTTTCTTGTCGTGGGACCACACTTTGTACTAATTCGGTAGAATGCCCCATACAGTATATGTCTGAATTTTACTTAATTTAAAATGACTGTCACATCTGGTTTTTAAAAACAGTATGGACAGTATAAAGAGATAAACATTTTAGTAGCCTGGCTGATTCCCACAGTTCCTTGAATTATGCAATATGACAATAAGTGACTGAGGCTCATTCTATATATTTGCAAGGCTCCAACACTGCACTGTTGCATTTCTATTGAGCACCTCTGATTTGTGTATTTGGCATTACAGAGTACATGCTTTATCTTATATTATATGAATTAAAGAAGAATAAAGGACAGTATTGACCACACTGTGGGGGTGGTCTGTGGGGGTCCTGTGTCAGGACATGTGTCGGGCTCTGCAGCCGGATCACTGCTAAGCCCCTGCTCTCAGTTACCTCTCTCCCATGATTGGAGCATGCATCGCTAATCGGACATAAACATTCATCTTCATATTCTCCCCCGCTACAATGAGCTTCCTATTGCACTCAGATTCCAGCAATAAGCTTCCCATGATCCTCTCTGGCCAGTCTGCCCCCTGAGGTGGGACATTCAGGCTCCCAAGGACAGATGGAGATTCCATGGCTGTAAGAGTAACAAGGTAGGAGGAGCTGCTCTTCTTCTCTCCTTGTGAGAATGGGAGTACACTGGTGTTGGTGTGTGTAGTGACGCATATCAGGAGACAGGAAGAGGAGACAGCCACTTGGAACAGCCCTGGATGGTAAGGGGTTGTCTGGCCAAATGTCTCACATCCTGTAGAGGTGTGAGGAGATGGTAGCTTGTTCTTTCATGGAGGATAGCAGCTGACGTCAGATTAACATCTATTCCTCTACAGCTGATCCAAACCAAAACAACATCGCCGAAGATGGTTCTAGTGTTCAAGGCGGCTACAGTGAAGGAGAATCAGCTGTGTTGTGTTTTATGCAGCAGTTTAAGTCGTTTTTTAAATACATTTTGATTGTTTTTTTATTTTTACTCAAATTGGACTCAAAGTTTTCATGCTCTGTAGAAACCTGGCTAATGTAGATTTGCATTAACGTGCCACCGGTTAGTAATCAGATTTAACCCGTAAGCCTTGTCTTATTTTATTGCATCTTAATTCTGTTATTGATTAAAGACATGACTGTATGGAGTATTTTTTATTTTCTTTATATTAATCTTTAACTGCAAAGTAAAGTTTTGAATTATTTATTGAATTTATTATTATGCAAGGAGAAGTAATCCCTCTCCTTGCATCCTGCTGCTGTCTGTCTTTGGCCTGCCTGAGTTTTTCTTATTAATGCCGGCCCATTCATTTTTTCATTTGTATTTTGTGCGGATCAATTTGAACTTCCCTTTGACATCCCCTTACATTAAAACACGATTATACATGTACCCTTTTACCTCTGGATTTAAACATTTGTTGTCTACATTTTGCTTGATTTGAAAACACTAACATTTGGTTTTTACAAATGGTTTGTTTAAAACATATATTTATTTCTTGAGTAGCTTGACTGATTAACATGTAAGACTTCCCACAGTTCCTTGCACTGTGAATATGACGGTAAGTGACCAAGGCTCGTTCTAATACAGGAGGCTTTAGTTATGCAAGACTGGAACACTGCACTTGTACAGATTCTACTCAGCGCCTCTGATTTCACACGACCATGTTACACACTGCAGCAGCACACACTCGACTACAGCAGCCCTCTTGACCTCATCTGACCTGTGTGATGGGATTCCTACATACTATCTTACACCTCTACTGTAACGGTCACTTCTCCTTATCACAAAAAAACGATTATTCCCTTTACCCGAGAAAATGATTTAAGCGATAGTGCAGCCTGGTGTCCAAACAGAAGCAATGTTCCAGTTTCAAAGGATGATCTGACTAACACGGAGGCAACTATTGTTAGGATTAAATGTTTCTGAATGTTTAAATATGCAAATTAGGAATTCATATATTTAGATATGGGCTCATTTGCAGACATTTCCAGAGCAGTTTGAACATCGGATGAAGATAAGTTTAAAAATGATTGTTTCATTATATGGGAGGGGATCTTTTTGTATCACTCTATAAAATAAAAAATGTTGTCAACAGAAAGGAAATCCATTTTCACAATTTCTTTAGTGATAAAAGGCTCTATAAATCACGTTGTGAATGATATTCAAAGAAAGCCGTCAGTAGAAAGCTTGGAAATATAGATAGAAATGAAACTGGAATTGTTGGTGCATGCAAGTGCTACTGAAATGTAGTTTTATGGCTCAGAGTATGAGAAGAAAATATGATTGTGAACTTCGTTTATTTTAACTACTTTGAGAAAGGAAAAGTAAAAGAGACCAACATCTCAAAACCAACTGGTCTATGAGGAAATATGTTTAGCCTCCACTGACTTTCCCTACCTACATTTATTTATATATATATATTGTTACTGTACACACTGTTAACATTACACTTCTCCTATTTCACTAATACTCACCAGGCTAACACTGTATAATATATTATATATAATACAATATTGTAATAGATGTTAGTTTTTTTTCGTAATGAATTTACACGATAAAAAGTGATTCATTAATATGTATCAATATTAAATTGAAAATGAAAATATTTAAACTAAAAAATATCAATCAATTCCTTTATTTATTTCTTTACTTTATTAATCACTCCGGCAAAGGGACATTTCACCCACATTGCAACAATATAAAGCCTGCTTAAAAGTAACTGTTAAGTGGCAATAGCAATATTCTTTAATATCAATATCCTATTTACATGCACAACTGACTGATTGTAATTGTGGGCAAACACTTTTGGGATTTTTATGTATTGAATATTATATGTATTAAAATATATTTACTCAACTCAAGTCTTTTAAATAATCATTTAACGTGATTCCTTTTAATTCACTTTTCTGAAAAATCTTGCATCGTTATGTTGTAGTTCAAACTAGAGGGTTGACAAATGCAACAAAAATAAACTCTTGGAGAGTATGGCACTGACTTTTAATTATTATAATTTGTTTTAATCTGAAGAGAAGCAGCAGAATGGCAGTGTTACAGTGTCTTTAATGTTTACCTGGTCGTGCCAGCGGAAGTCAGGCGTGATGACGAGCCGCACGCGGAGCACGGTGCGTGTGATTGGCTGGATGTTGGCCTCCATGGTGATGGCAGGGATCTGGTGGGCACACTGTTTGACCGACTGTCCGATGTTCACATGGTGCAGCATGTGACCTGGGAACAATGCAAGGCCGTTATCATGTGTTCCATATGTTTATTAATATAAACCTATATAAAACTAATAGAAGGATGATGTGGCTCATGCAGATTACAGTGAAAATCCCCATGAAAACCTGATATTAAAATAACAGGTGCTAAACCTGCTAAATTCAGCACAAATGTCTTTGTCATGAGTGTTGTCATACCCACTGTTCTGAGTTTCTTTGTTTAACTGGATTCACTATCAATCCCAATCACTTGGCTGTTTTATAATCAGCATTTCCAGTTGTTCCAGGAACAAGAAGGATTATCCCAACTTAACAATAAAGATTTACATTTGAAAAACGTGTTTAAGAGGTGAAGGGCAATTTTGACGTTACCTTAATATAAAACAATAAAAGGTAGAGGTAGAAGGAACTGGTGTTACAAACGTAATGTGTGTGAATGTGAGATGGTCATAACAAAACAGCGTGTCAGAACACACACAGGTCTCTGAACTAACACTGTGTGTGTGTCAAAGCGTAAATATTTAACATTTAAAATAAATGTGTGTTCAAGGTAACGCAACATTTTTCAATGATTAAGACATTTTCTTTGCATGTCAATAGGACCAGAATATATATACAATATCACTATATCCAAATCTGGGTCAACATATTGGCGCTGCCTTTTTTTTTTACCATAGAAATCAATCAAATTTCAAGTCTGCTGCCGGTTTGATTGTAATCTTACAGCAGAATATGTAGAAAACAGGTTAACATGGAGAAAGTGTTAAGATTAAAGGAGGTCACCTATTATGCAAAATCCACTTTTTCATGTCTTTTCTACATAAACATGTGTCCCCTCCTCTGTGTTAAGAGATTCTGAAAGTTTCAGGAAAAAAGATCTGCTCACTTTTTGTCCTGATCCATTTATATAAAAACCTGTCTGAAAATGAGCTGATCAGATTTTGGCCACTTTATGATGTCAGAATGATGTTTTGGCTTGTGTAACCATTAGCCAATCAGCAACCAAGGTAACCCTTATCACCTGAATCTCCTCCTAGAGCACCATTGTGTTTTTTTTAACCAAATGTCTCTCAGAGGGGCGTGGGGAGGGGCTCCTTATTTTCAAAGTAACAGACAGAGAATCAGCACTTTGGAAACAGGGCTGAAACAGAGGGGATTATGGGATGCTGCAATGATCTGTTTGGTATTTCAGCCAATTACTTCAGAGACATGTTTTGTATACATCTGAGACCTATAATAAAGTAATGAAAAACAGTATAATAAGGGACCTTTAAAATAAAATAGAAGTAAAACAGCATTATGCTTATTTAAATGTCCTGCAGTTTAAGTAAATAGAGGGCCCCTGCCGATTGTTTAAAAAAAATGTATAACTGAATTGAGCCACTCATACAGTCTGTCCATACACTGGTGAAACTTGGACTGTGTGTTGTTTTTACCGATCTCATCCTTCCTCATTTCCTTCAGCTTGTCCACGGTGAGCTTCTTCTCCTCCAGGCGGTTCAGAACCAGGTGGCTGAGGTTGGGGAACTGACGGAGGGGGTGGGCGAAGCCCCACAGCCGCTTGTCGATCACCTTACAGAGGGTGAGCAGGCGGTAGGTCATGGCCGGCCACCGCTTCCTCAGAGCGATCTCAAACAGAGCCCTGACGATACGAGCAGAGTTCTGTGGGGGGGGGGGGGACTGAATCATTAACAACAAGCCAAGTAGTAACTGATGACAGCAATAGAATTAGGTCAGAAGTCTTGTTTTCCTTTGGAAGCCAAAAAGAGACTTGTCACTTCAGCCTTTATGTGGTGGTGAATGCAGCTTCTACATGCCTACACAATTGAGATATCATCTACCACGGGGCACTGAGGGTTATAACACACACCACTGATCGTAGTATGCTCTGGTTGGATGGTCTGCTCTGGCCGCCCGTAGAGGAACCATTGGCACACCCTTATTTATGAGGCTGTTTTTGGTGTTCCATCTTATATACAGAATGATACCCTTCAGAAAACTACAGAAAGTCGTCTGCTTAGCTCCGAGGACTTGTTTTCCAAAAGTCCAGAGTGAGTTGGGAAAAGGGTGTTTAGTTCTGCTGCTCTATATACTTGGAAGCAGCTGCAACACGAGCTGGTCTCTCTGAGTGACAGAGAGGCAGAGGACTGTCTGTAGATGCTTCTTATGATGATGTTCAGATTGAGACCATGATACAGTATTTTCTCTGTTCTTGTTTTTAGCCTGTGTTCTGTGACTGTGCTGCTACCTATCTGGGACAGGACTCTCAAGGAGACTTCTTGGTTAAATACGTTTAAATACAAATGAATGAATAAAAGTATTTTAACGGTATCTTTAAAGTTGGAATACAACAAGGGAAAACATTTGAATTGATCTAAAGTCAGTGGTGATATAAAGTGATTTAACTCATATCTAACTGACTGTAGCATTCAATGTGAACACTTTTCGGCTATGTTTTTAATGACGGCCTTTTAGTTAAACCTTCAGTGTTGTAGGACATCAGTTCCAATTCACAGCAGCCGTTTGTGTTTTCCAGTGTTTTTGCTCAATTAAAGAATTTCCATGGTGATTAATCATCAGCAGGAGGTGTGGGGGGGGGGGTCAGACGCTCACTGATGGATGGGTCAGCTCTGGTGGAGAGGTCAGGTGACCGTGATGCTGTGATTGATCTGCTCAGGTGTTAATGTGATCACATGGTCTGAATGCACTCTGGAGGGGGTTATTGAAGTGTGTGTGTGTGTGTGTGTGTGTGTGTGTGTGTGTGTGTGTGTGTGTGTGTGTGTTATATATATTTCTCATTACTATGGGACCTTTTGGGAATGTGGATAATGTGAGATGGGGGGAGAATGATGAAAATAGAGTTAAACATTATATTCTAGTGCACATTTCGCCGATTGGCTTGTGACTGTATTATTTTTAAAAAGGAATTAAACAAGAAGAAATATACACCCAATGAAACAACACATTTTAAAACATCCTGTGTCAGATTTGATAAATAAATAAAACTTCACTACAGAGGCTTCACAGATTATTTTTGACTAATTAATTTCTTTGCAAACATTATTGAGATTCAGGTATTCCTACAACTGAATTTCCCTTAAAGGGGACCTATTGTGCAAAATGCACTTTTTCATGTCTTTTACACGTGTGCTGTCCCTCACCTGAGCCACGTAGCCCAGGTCAGAGATGAGGGAGAAGCTGTCCACCTCCCCCCGGCTGATGTAGGTCTGCAGCAGCACGTTGATCTTCCCGTAGCCGTTCTCCACCCCCCCTGCAGCCGGCAGCTCACAGTAGTTACTCAGCAGCTGGTCCAGCTCCTCCAGCTCCTCGTCACGCACCTGCAACACACACACACACACACACACACACACACACACACACACACACACACACACACACACACACACACACACACAACACACACACACACACACACACACACACACACACCACACACACACACACACACACACACACACACACACACACACCACACACACACACACCACACACACACACACACACACACACACACACACACACACACACACACACACACACACACATTATACTTTGGATCAGAACCAGGACTACAGATGAGATATGCTGTAGAGACCTCAAAACCTGAATGAAGCTCTGACTGAAGCTCTGACTGAAGCTCTGACTGAAGCTCTGAATGAAGCTCTGACTGAAGCTCTGACTGAAGCTCTGACTGATTGAAGCTCTGACTGACTGAAGCTCTGACTGAAGCTCTGAATGAAGCTCTGACTGAAGCTCTGACTGACTGAAGCTCTGACTGAAGCTCTGACTGAAGCTCTGAATGAAGCTCTGACTGACTGAAGCTCTGACTGAAGCTCTGACTGACTGAAGCTCTGACTGAAGCTCTGACTGAAGCTCTGACTGAAGCTCTGACTGAAGCTCTGACTGAAGCTCTGACTGAAGCTCTGACTGAAGCTCTGACTGACTGAAGCTCTGACTGAAGCTCTGACTGAAGCTCTGACTGAAGCTCTGACTGAAGCTCTGACTGAAGCTCTGACTGACTGAAGCTCTGACTGAAGCTCTGACTGAAGCTCTGACTGACTGAAGCTCTGACTACTGAAGCTCTGACTGAAGCTCTGACTGAAGCTCTGACTGAAGCTGACTGACTGAAGCTCTGACTGAAGCTCTGACTGACTGAAGCTCTGACTGAAGCTCTGACTGAAGCTCTGACTGAAGCTCTGACTGAAGCTCTGACTGACTGAAGCTCTGACTGAAGCTCTGACTGAAGCTCTGACTGAAGCTCTGACTGAAGCTCTGACTGAAGCTCTGACTGAAGCTCTGACTGAAGCTCTGACTGAAGCTCTGACTGATTGAAGCTCTGACTGAAGCTCTGACTGAAGCTCTGACTGATTGAAGCTCTGACTGACTGAAGCTCTGACTGAAGCTCTGAATGAAGCTCTGACTGAAGCTCTGACTGACTGAAGCTCTGACTGAAGCTCTGACTGAAGCTCTGAATGAAGCTCTGACTGACTGAAGCTCTGACTGAAGCTCTGACTGACTGAAGCTCTGACTGAAGCTCTGAATGAAGCTCTGACTGAAGCTCTGACTGAAGCTCTGAATGAAGCTCTGACTGAAGCTCTGACTGAAGCTCTGACTGAAGCTCTGACTGAAGCTCTGAATGAAGCTCTGACTGAAGCTCTGACTGAAGCTCTGACTGAAGCTCTGACTGAAGCTCTGACTGAAGCTCTGACTGAAGCTCTGACTGACTGAAGCTCTGACTGAAGCTCTGACTGAAGCTCTGACTGAAGCTCTGACTGACTGAAGCTCTGACTGAAGCTCTGACTGAAGCTCTGACTGACTGAAGCTCTGACTGACGCTCTGACTGAAGCTCTGACTGAAGCTCTGACTGAAGCTCTGACTGAAGCTCTGACTGACTGAAGCTCTGACTGAAGCTCTGACTGACTGAAGCTCTGACTGACTGAAGCTCTGACTGAAGCTCTGACTGACTGAAGCTCTGACTGACTGAAGCTCTGACTGACTGAAGCTCTGACTGAAGCTCTGACTGAAGCTCTGACTGACGCTCTGACTGAAGCTCTGACTGAAGCTCTGACTGACTGAAGCTCTGACTGAAGCTCTGACTGAAGCTCTGACTGAAGCTCTGACTGAAGCTCTGACTGAAGCTCTGACTGACGCTCTGACTGAAGCTCTGACTGAAGCTCTGACTGAAGCTCTGACTGAAGCTCTGACTGAAGCTCTGACTGACTGAAGCTCTGACTGAAGCTCTGACTGACTGAAGCTCTGACTGAAGCTCTGACTGACTGAAGCTCTGACTGAAGCTCTGACTGAAGCTCTGACTGAAGCTCTGACTGACTAACGGTACGTCCACACGGCAGTGTCGCGTTGAAGCTTGCCGGTGGGCGTGTTGGCGTGGACCAACAACCAATCACATTAATCTCCCGCCCCGGACACACAAGCACACGGTTTGATTGGCTAGTGCTTGTACTGGCATATGATTTGATTGGCTGGCGCTTCCGTCGACGCTTGAATAGTTGAACTTTTCTCAACTTTCGAAGCGAGCAACGGAGGCAAAGCGACGCGACGGAACCACAATGCAGTTCGGCAAAGCGTGACGTCACCCCATTCAAAGTGAATGGGAAGCGTCTCCGTTGAAGCATGCAACGGTACATCCACACGGCCGTTGAAGCTCGCCCACCAGCAAGCTTCAATGCAACGCTGCCGTGTGGACGTACCGTGAAGCTCTGACTGAAGCTCTGACTGAAGCTCTGGCTGAAGCTCTGGCTGAAGCTCTGGCTGAAGCTCTGGCTGAAGCTCTGGCTGAAGCTCTGGCTTAAGCTGACGACCTCTCACCTTCAGCTGGTCAAACTCCTCAGCCTTGGACACGATGCTGAAGATGTCTGCTTCTGTCCTCTGAGAGTTGAACATTTCATTGAAGGTCTTCAGAGGAGGGGGAAACATATATACCAAGTTAATAGAGTTTTAATTAGGACATGTCATTATGTCTGACACAGTGATGCAACGTTCGATTGATATAAACGCACAAGAAATTCAAAATAATAAATTAGGTACTTTGGGTCAACACAATGTTTCTTTAATTTTTACAATTAGAATAATATAATAAATACAATAAATCTGCGTCATGACATCCTAAGTTGTAACTACAGTTTTTATAGTTTTATTTAGAACATGGGGTTGTGTCGCGGTTAGGCCTCATTTGGCTGAAATACATATCAAAACAACAAACACATCACCTGACAAAAGGTTTCTCTTCTTTACTCAACAAAAAATAATTAGAGAAATGCTCCTGTAAAAACCTTTTTTCAAACTAACAATATCTTTAACATTTATATCGCTAGCAATATATTTCTTCCCACAAACTAAGACATTTGAAAGATAAATTAGCCCCTTAAAAAGATTATACCGGCAAAAACTGTGTTTTACCTGTTCATAAATACAGGAGAAAAACGATTTAGTTCAGACAAAAAAATTGGATAACCACACTTTTTCTTTTTCACTTATATAGCTATTACAAATGATATGGATTTCTATCATTTGCTTCATTGGTACTCAGATTAGATAAACTAGTCACAGCAGTAGAAAGTGAATAGGTATAACGCATGAGTTCAAAACATAATACATATCATAAAATAAAAAGTTAATATATACATATCAACAGTAGAAGATATATCTTAATAGAGTATACAAAGAATATACAATATAAAAAACACTGGATAAGTTAGAATACTCATACATTACTAAAGTGTGCAAAGTCGCATTCAATTTCTAATTACAATCGAATAAATGATTTCTATTTCTGATACATTATTTATTTACCTTCATCATCTTCAATTATTGGGTTGAACGTATAAATGAATACGTTTTTGTTACCTCGATGGTGTAGTATCTGATGGAGTAGTGAGTGTACCTCGATGGTGTAGTATCTGATGGAGCAGTGAGTGTACCTCGATGGTGTAGTATCTGATGGAGTAGTGAGTGTACCTCGATGGTGTAGTATCTGATGGAGCAGTGAGTGTACCTCGATGGTGTAGTATCTGATGGAGTAGTGAGTGTACCTCTGTGGTGTAGTATCTGATGGAGTAGTGAGTGTACCTCGATGGTGTAGTATCTGATGGAGCAGTGAGTGTACCTCCATGGTGTAGTATCTGATGGAGCAGTGAGTGTACCTCGATGGTGTAGTATCTGATGGAGCAGTGAGTGTACCTCGATGGTGTAGTATCTGATGGAGCAGTGAGTGTACCTCGATGGTGTAGTATCTGATGGAGTAGTGAGTGTACCTCGATGGTGTAGTATCTGATGGAGCAGTGAGTGTACCTCGATGGTGTAGTATCTGATGGAGTAGTGAGTGTACCTCGATGGTGTAGTATCTGATGGAGTATGATGTACCTCGTGTGTAGTATCTGATGGAGTAGTGAGTGTACCTCGATGGTGTAGTATCTGATGGAGGCAGTGAGTGTAACCTCCATGGTGTAGTATCTGATGAGTAGTGAGTGTACCTCGATGGTGTAGTATCTGATGGACAGTGAGTGTACCTCGATGGTGTAGTATCTGATGGAGCAGTGAGTGTACCTCGATGGTGTAGTTAATCGGATGGAGTAGTGAGTGGACCCGATGGTGTAGTATCTGATGGAGCAGTGAGTGTACCTCGATGGTGTAGTATCTGATGGAGTAGTGAGTGTACCTCGATGGTTGTAGTATCTGATGGAGCAGTGAGTGTACCTCGATGGTGTAGTATCTGATGGAGTAGTGAGTGTACCTCGATGGTGTAGTATCTGATGGGTCAGTGAGTGTACTCGATGGTGTAGTATCTGATGGAGGCAGTGGAGTGTACCTCGATGGTGTAGTATCTGATGGAGGAGTGAGTGTACCTCGATGGTGTAGTATCTGATGGAGCAGTGAGTGTACTCGATGGTGTAGTATCTGATGGAGTATTGAGTGTACTCGATGGTGTAGTATCTGATGGAGCAGTGAGTGTACCTCGATGGTGTAGTATCTGATGGAGTAGTGAGTGTACCTCGATGGTGTAGTATCTGATGGAGTAGTGAGTGTACCTCGATGGTGTAGTATCTGATGGAGCAGTGAGTGTACCTCGATGGTGTAGTATCTGATGGAGTAGTGAGTGTACCTTGATGGTGTAGTATCTGATGGAGTAGTGAGTGTACCTCGTGGTGTAGTATCTGATGGAGTAGTGAGTGTACCTCGATGGTGTAGTATCTGATGGAGCAGTGAGTGTAACCTCGATGGTGTAGTATCTGATGGAGCAGTGAGTGTACCTCGATGGTGTAGTATCTGATGGAGCAGTGAGTGTACCTCGATGGTGTAGTATCTGATGGAGCAGGAGTGTACCTCGATGGGTGTAGTATCTGATGGAGTAGTGAGTGTACCTCGATGGTGTAGTATCTGATGGAGTAGTGAGTGTACCTCGATGGTGTAGTATATGATGGAGTAGTGAGTGTACCTCGATGGTGTAGTATCTGATGGAGCAGTGAGTGTACCTCGATGGTGTAGTATCTGATGGAGTAGTGAGTGTACCTCGATGGTGTAGTATCTGATGGAGTAGTGAGTGTACCTCCATGGTGTAGTATCTGATGGAGTAGTGAGTGTACCTCGATGGTGTAGTATCTGATGGAGTAGTGAGTGTACCTCGATGGTGTAGTATCTGATGGAGCAGTGAGTGTACCTCGATGGTGTAGTATCTGATGGAGCAGTGAGTGTACCTCGATGGTGTAGTATCTGATGGAGTAGTGAGTGTACCTCGATGGTGTAGTATCTGATGGAGTAGTGAGTGTACCTCGATGGTGTAGTATCTGATGGAGCAGTGAGTGTACCTCGATGGTGTAGTATCTGATGGAGTAGTGAGTGTACCTCGATGGTGTAGTATCTGATGGAGTAGTGAGTGTACCTCGATGGTGTAGTATCTGATGGAGTAGTGAGTGTACCTCGATGGTGTAGTATCTGATGGAGCAGTGAGTGTACCTCGATGGTGTAGTATCTGATGGAGCAGTGAGTGTACCTCGATGGTGTAGTATCTGATGGAGTAGTGAGTGTACCTCGATGGTGTAGTATCTGATGGAGTAGTGAGTGTACCTCGATGGTGTAGTATCTGATGGAGCAGTGAGTGTACCTCGATGGTGTAGTATCTGATGGAGTCAGTGAGTGTACCTCCATGGTGTAGTATCTGATGGAGTAGTGAGTGTACCTCCATGGTGTAGTATCTGATGGAGTAGTGAGTGTACCCTCGATGGTGTAGTATCTGATGGAGTAGTGAGGTGTACCTCGATGGTGTAGTATCTGATGGAGTAGTGAGTGTACCTCGATGGTGTAGTATCTGATGGAGCAGTGAGTGTACCTCGATGGTGTAGTATCTGATGGAGTAGTGAGTGTACCTCGATGGTGTAGTATCTGATGGAGTAGTGAGTGTACCTCGATGGTGTTTTGATGGAGTAGTGAGTGTACCTCGATGGTGTAGTAATCTGATGGAGCAGTGAGTGTACCTCGATGGTGTAGTATCTGATGGAGCAGTGAGTGTACCTCGATGGTGTAGTATCTGATGGAGCAGTGAGTGTACCTCGATGGTGTAGTATCTGATGGAGCAGTGAGTGTACCTCGATGGTGTAGTATCTGATGGAGTAGTGAGTGTACCTCGATGGTGTAGTATCTGATGGAGCAGTGAGTGTACCTCGATGGTGTAGTATCTGATGGAGCAGTGAGTGTACCTCAATGGTGTAGTATCTGATGGAGTAGTGAGTGTACCTCGATGGTGTAGTATCTGATGGAGTAGTGAGTGTACCTCGATGGTGTAGTATCTGATGGAGTAGTGAGTGTACCTCGATGGTGTAGTATCTGATGGAGCAGTGAGTGTACCTCGATGGTGTAGTATCTGATGGAGCAGTGAGTGTACCTCCATGGTGTAGTATCTGATGGAGTAGTGAGTGTACCTCCATGGTGTAGTATCTGATGGAGTAGTGAGTGTACCTCGATGGTGTAGTATCTGATGGAGCAGTGAGTGTACCTCGATGGTGTAGTATCTGATGGAGTAGTGAGTGTACCTCGATGGGTGTAGTATCTGATGGAGTAGTGAGTGTACCTCGATGGTGTAGTATCTGATGGAGTAGTGAGTGTACCTCGATGGTGTAGTATCTGATGGAGTAGTGAGTGTACCTCGATGGTGTAGTATCTGATGGAGTAGTGAGTGTACCTCGATGGTGTAGTATCTGATGGAGTAGTGAGTGTACCTCGATGGTGTAGTATCTGATGGAGTAGTGAGTGTACCTCGATGGTGTAGTATCTGATGGAGCAGTGAGTGTACCTCGATGGTGTAGTATCTGATGGAGCAGTGAGTGTACCTCGATGGTGTAGTATCTGATGGAGTAGTGAGTGTACCTCGATGGTGTAGTATCTGATGGAGTAGTGAGTGTACCTCGATGGTGTAGTATCTGATGGAGCAGTGAGTGTACCTCGATGGTGTAGTATCTGATGGAGCAGTGAGTGTACCTCCATGGTGTAGTATCTGATGGAGTAGTGAGTGTACCTCCATGGTGTAGTATCTGATGGAGTAGTGAGTGTACCTCGATGGTGTAGTATCTGATGGAGTAGTGAGTGTACCTCGATGGTGTAGTATCTGATGGAGCAGTGAGTGTACCTCGATGGTGTAGTATCTGATGGAGTAGTGAGTGTACCTCGATGGTGTAGTATCTGATGGAGTAGTGAGTGTACCTCGATGGTGTAGTATCTGATGGAGTAGTGAGTGTACCTCGATGGTGTAGTATCTGATGGAGCAGTGAGTGTACCTCGATGGTGTAGTATCTGATGGAGCAGTGAGTGTACCTCGATGGTGTAGTATCTGATGGAGTAGTGAGTGTACCTCGATGGTGTAGTATCTGATGGAGTAGTGAGTGTACCTCGATGGTGTAGTATCTGATGGAGCAGTGAGTGTACCTCGATGGTGTAGTATCTGATGGAGCAGTGAGTGTACCTCCATGGTGTAGTATCTGATGGAGTAGTGAGTGTACCTCCATGGTGTAGTATCTGATGGAGTAGTGAGTGTACCTCCATGGTGTAGTATCTGATGGAGTAGTGAGTGTACCTCGATGGTGTAGTATCTGATGGAGTAGTGAGTGTACCTCGATGGTGTAGTATCTGATGGAGTAGTGAGTGTACCTCGATGGTGTAGTATCTGATGGAGCAGTGAGTGTACCTCGATGGTGTAGTATCTGATGGAGTAGTGAGTGTACCTCGATGGTGTAGTATCTGATGGAGTAGTGAGTGTACCTCGATGGTGTAGTATCTGATGGAGCAGTGAGTGTACCTCGATGGTGTAGTATCTGATGGAGCAGTGAGTGTACCTCGATGGTGTAGTATCTGATGGAGCAGTGAGTGTACCTCGATGGTGTAGTATCTGATGGAGCAGTGAGTGTACCTCGATGGTGTAGTATCTGATGGAGTAGTGAGTGTACCTCGATGGTGTAGTATCTGATGGAGCAGTGAGTGTACCTCGATGGTGTAGTATCTGATGGAGCAGTGAGTGTACCTCAATGGTGTAGTATCTGATGGAGTAGTGAGTGTACCTCGATGGTGTAGTATCTGATGGAGTAGTGAGTGTACCTCGATGGTGTAGTATCTGATGGAGTAGTGAGTGTACCTCGATGGTGTAGTATCTGATGGAGCAGTGAGTGTACCTCGATGGTGTAGTATCTGATGGAGCAGTGAGTGTACCTCCATGGTGTAGTATCTGATGGAGTAGTGAGTGTACCTCCATGGTGTAGTATCTGATGGAGTAGTGAGTGTACCTCGATGGTGTAGTATCTGATGGAGCAGTGAGTGTACCTCGATGGTGTAGTATCTGATGGAGTAGTGAGTGTACCTCGATGGTGTAGTATCTGATGGAGTAGTGAGTGTACCTCGATGGTGTAGTATCTGATGGAGTAGTGAGTGTACCTCGATGGTGTAGTATCTGATGGAGTAGTGAGTGTACCTCGATGGTGTAGTATCTGATGGAGTAGTGAGTGTACCTCGATGGTGTAGTATCTGATGGAGTAGTGAGTGTACCTCGATGGTGTAGTATCTGATGGAGTAGTGAGTGTACCTCGATGGTGTAGTATCTGATGGAGCAGTGAGTGTACCTCGATGGTGTAGTATCTGATGGAGCAGTGAGTGTACCTCGATGGTGTAGTATCTGATGGAGTAGTGAGTGTACCTCGATGGTGTAGTATCTGATGGAGTAGTGAGTGTACCTCGATGGTGTAGTATCTGATGGAGCAGTGAGTGTACCTCGATGGTGTAGTATCTGATGGAGCAGTGAGTGTACCTCCATGGTGTAGTATCTGATGGAGTAGTGAGTGTACCTCCATGGTGTAGTATCTGATGGAGTAGTGAGTGTACCTCGATGGTGTAGTATCTGATGGAGTAGTGAGTGTACCTCGATGGTGTAGTATCTGATGGAGTAGTGAGTGTACCTCGATGGTGTAGTATCTGATGGAGCAGTGAGTGTACCTCGATGGTGTAGTATCTGATGGAGCAGTGAGTGTACCTCGATGGTGTAGTATCTGATGGAGTAGTGAGTGTACCTCGATGGTGTAGTATCTGATGGAGTAGTGAGTGTACCTCGATGGTGTAGTATCTGATGGAGCAGTGAGTGTACCTCGATGGTGTAGTATCTGATGGAGCAGTGAGTGTACCTCAATGGTGTAGTATCTGATGGAGTAGTGAGTGTACCTCGATGGTGTAGTATCTGATGGAGTAGTGAGTGTACCTCGATGGTGTAGTATCTGATGGAGTAGTGAGTGTACCTCGATGGTGTAGTATCTGATGGAGCAGTGAGTGTACCTCGATGGTGTAGTATCTGATGGAGCAGTGAGTGTACCTCCATGGTGTAGTATCTGATGGAGTAGTGAGTGTACCTCGATGGTGTAGTATCTGATGGAGTAGTGAGTGTACCTCGATGGTGTAGTATCTGATGGAGCAGTGAGTGTACCTCGATGGTGTAGTATCTGATGGAGCAGTGAGTGTACCTCCATGGTGTAGTATCTGATGGAGTAGTGAGTGTACCTCCATGGTGTAGTATCTGATGGAGCAGTGAGTGTACCTCGATGGTGTAGTATCTGATGGAGCAGTGAGTGTACCTCGATGGTGTAGTATCTGATGGAGTAGTGAGTGTACCCGATGGTGTAGTATCTGATGGAGTAGTGAGTGTACCTCGATGGTGTAGTATCTGATGGAGCAGTGAGTGTACCTCGATGGTGTAGTATCTGATGGAGTAGTGAGTGTACCTCGATGGTGTAGTATCTGATGGAGCAGTGAGTGTACCTCCATGGTGTAGTATCTGATGGAGTAGTGAGTGTACCTCCATGGTGTAGTATCTGATGGAGTAGTGAGTGTACCTCGATGGTGTAGTATCTGATGGAGTAGTGAGTGTACCTCGATGGTGTAGTATCTGATGGAGCAGTGAGTGTACCTCGATGGTGTAGTATCTGATGGAGCAGTGAGTGTACCTCGATGGTGTAGTATCTGATGGAGTAGTGAGTGTACCTCGATGGTGTAGTATCTGATGGAGTAGTGAGTGTACCTCCATGGTGTAGTATCTGATGGAGTAGTGAGTGTACCTCGATGGTGTAGTATCTGATGGAGTAGTGAGTGTACCTCGATGGTGTAGTATCTGATGGAGTAGTGAGTGTACCTCGATGGTGTAGTATCTGATGGAGTAGTGAGTGTACCTCGATGGTGTAGTATCTGATGGAGCAGTGAGTGTACCTCGATGGTGTAGTATCTGATGGAGCAGTGAGTGTACCTCCATGGTGTAGTATCTGATGGAGCAGTGAGTGTACCTCCATGGTGTAGTATCTGATGGAGCAGTGAGTGTACCTCGATGGTGTAGTATCTGATGGAGCAGTGAGTGTACCTCCATGGTGTAGTATCTGATGGAGTAGTGAGTGTACCTCGATGGTGTAGTATCTGATGGAGCAGTGAGTGTACCTCGATGGTGTAGTATCTGATGGAGCAGTGAGTGTACCTCGATGGTGTAGTATCTGATGGAGCAGTGAGTGTAGCTCGATGGTGTAGTATCTGATGGAGCAGTGAGTGTACCTCGATGGTGTAGTATCTGATGGAGCAGTGAGTGTACCTCGATGGTGTAGTATCTGATGGAGCAGTGAGTGTACCTCGATGGTGTAGTATCTGATGGAGTAGTGAGTGTACCTCGATGGTGTAGTATCTGATGGAGCAGTGAGTGTACCTCGATGGTGTAGTATCTGATGGAGCAGTGAGTGTACCTCGATGGTGTAGTATCTGATGGAGCAGTGAGTGTACCTCGATGGTGTAGTATCTGATGGAGCAGTGAGTGTACCTCGATGGTGTAGTATCTGATGGAGCAGTGAGTGTACCTCGATGGTGTAGTATCTGATGGAGTAGTGAGTGTACCTCCATGGTGTAGTATCTGATGGAGCAGTGAGTGTACCTCGATGGTGTAGTATCTGATGGAGCAGTGAGTGTACCTCCATGGTGTAGTATCTGATGGAGCAGTGAGTGTACCTCGATGGTGTAGTATCTGATGGTGTAGTATCTGATGGAGCAGTGAGTGTACCTCAATGGTGTAATATCTTATGTAGTAATGAGTGTACCTCCATGGTGTAGTATCTGATGTAGAAGTGAGTGTACCTCCATGGTGTAGTATCTGATGGAGCAGTGAGTGTACCTCGATGGTGTAGTATCTGATGGTGTAGTATCTGATGGAGCAGTGAGTGTACCTCCATGGTGTAATATCTTATGTAGTAATGAGTGTACCTCCATGGTGTAGTATCTGATGTAGAAGTGAGTGTACCTCCATGGTGTAGTATCTGATGGAGCAGTGAGTGTACCTCCATGGTGTAGTATCTGATGGTGTAGTATCTGATGGTGTAGTATCTGATGGAGCAGTGAGTGTACCTCGATGGTGTAATATCTTATGTAGTAATGAGTGTACCTCCATGGTGTAGTATCTGATGTAGCAGTGAGTGTAGTATCTGATGGAGCAGTGAGTGTAGTATCTGATGGTGTAGTATGTGATGGAGCAGTGAGTGTACCTCGATGGTGTTGTATCTGATGTAGAAGTGGCTGGCGGTCCTGCCCATGTCGGTGGAGGCGTAGTACCCGGTGCGCTCCTCGAAGCGGATCATGCGGGCCTTGTCCAGCTTCCTGCCGGCCTCCACCACCAGCTCCTTCCTGTACAGCATCAGGGAGGGGTCCATCTGAAACATGTGAACACCACTGTTATTTTAAGATATGTTAAGTCCGTGTTGCATATTGGTTTCTCTTTTCTTTCTAAGGCTGCACTTAAACCTGCTTTCTATGCAGTTACTGTTTTTTAATACGGTTTTTATACACCGATAAACAACTGTATTTTTTCAAGCAGAAATAACTTAAAATAATACAATTAGAACTTTTTAAATATTAAAACACGAGTGGCAGTAACGGTCACAATTAAGTTAAGCGTGATATTAGATTGAAATTGGATAACAATTTTACATAACTGCAGTGACCTTCAAAAATCCTGATGTTGATTGTTGATCTTTCACCAACCATATTAAAAAAAAGGTTATAGCTAGCTAGGTCTTTCTTTCCACTAATGAGAACAAAATGAACCCCATAAAAAATATTATACCGGCAAAAATGTTGTTTTACCTTATAAAAAAATTGGATCATCAGAATATTTGTTCTTACTTGTGTCAGGTTCTTTGAACCTTTTAAAATGCTATTGGTTTCTATAAATGAGTCCATTGGTATTAGACCAGGTATAGACAGGTGAATAGTAGCTCTGTCTGTAGGGACCGAAGGGTGCCAGTTCAAGCCCAGATAAGATCAATATACTGCATGTGAACTGGTAGCTGGAGAGGTGCCAGTTCATTTGCTGGGCACTGCTGAGATGTCCTTGAGCAAGGCCCTCAACTGCTCCCATTGGCAGGCCCTTCGCTCTGCCATCTCTTTATTTTTGCCTGTCTATAGGTCCTGTTTGTGCGTTTGTTCATTTCGGGCCTATATGTGTCATTTTAAAAAGACAAGAGTGAAGAGCTGAATCTCCCCTGTTGGACAGACGGACGGACAGAGAGACAGACAGAGAGACAGACAGACAGACAGAGAGACAGAGAGACAGACAGACAAAGAGACAGACAGACAAAGAGACAGACAGACAGACAGACAGAGAGACAGACAGAGAGACAGACAGACAGACAAAGAGACAGACAGAGAGACAGACAGACAGACAGACA